TTTTCAAGAGGACGCCAAGGACGTGAACACCACACAACCATTTTTTGATTCTTTCTTTTCTAAACTTAGATACAGTCCACCAACAGTTGACAAATTGAAGGACATGGATTGATAACGATGAATTTTGAAACAGCGTGAATTAACTTTTTAAGAAACGTTTTTGCAGTCGTAAACTTACGCAACAAGACGAGAAAGGAAAGACAGCAAACCTTGTGTGACATTAATAATTTTGTTTGAAAAAAGGCTCATCAAACCTTACCCTCCTTTAAACAGATGTTTTAGTAAATGACCAGAAAACATTAACATGAAGTGAAGATCACAACAAAGCACACAAGTAAAACACATTCACAAGTAATATTACTATTGAAATAATTTGTTCAATATTAAAAGTCTTTTCCAGGCATTCAGAATGTGGCAGGGAGGGGTATGTGGCTGTCTACACCCTGCCCTTTTTGTAGAATTAAAAAAGCATGGCATTGGATTTACGCACTTGATAAGTGTACATGTGGACTTCCACTGTTACGTAGTTTTACGTGCGTGGTGAACACACGTAAATTTTACGCAGGTAAATAAAATACAACGTAAAAGTTGAACCTTGCTCAACTTTCCGGTTTACATGGACCTTTCATACATTGCCTCTACTGATTTCATTTATGTGTATAAAATTTACATGTGTTCACCGCGCACGTAAAAATTATGCAGTAGTGGAAATAAACCCTAACGCCGACAATCCTTGCCATCATTTGCATTCTTAGAGTTTAAAAACTAAAAATATCTAATAAATAGCACCGAAAACGGTAACTCAAACCTAACTCAATGTTAACTCAAACTCAACTCAAACTCAACTCAGACCCATAACTCGATCGTTATACTATCTCGCTTGGACCTCTTCTCGGAAGAGGCCCCATCATTCAATTCTTGTAAGCTAGCACCAAAAATGCTAACACTGAGTGGAGGTTCGAATGTACAGAATAGGAATTTTGTGCTTGACAAGTTAAAAATGTGGGATCATGAGAAAATATTTGTTCTTGTTTCTCCCTCTTTTTTCCCCTCATGTGTTGTTATTGTTGATCACAAATATCAACAAGCCTCTCCCACCACGGACTCGTTGCTGAAACATACACTTGAACAGAAATAAGTATTATCTGGTTGTACTAAAAATACTGGCATCTGGGAAGTTATATGAAGCTATTAAGTGGATCGTCGTTGTTTTAATTTATGCATGTATAACTGTTTTAAACTCCTGGCTAACAGTTTATTTTTCATTTTTGTTTCTCAAGTTTTTTTGGGCAATGTTAACTCTCGGAAACTTGGAAACTGTTCGCCTAGCAACTTATAATGAACAAAGTTAGCGTATATAATCCGGCTTACCTGCAGAAAAACCTTTCCTCCAATTTCTGTGTCCACGTGTCTGGAACCGTCGACCTTTCCGTATGTAAGCTTAATTTTCACTCATCTATTTCCGTTCATGGCTTTCTTCCGATCGCTTGAACGTCCTTGACCAAGTTAACAATTTCCTCGGTTTTTCACTGTAATGATAAAGAGTTTCTGCTTCAAGCAGCGTTTCGGATCAATTTGACCGCCATTGCTGATTGAATACATAATAAGGGAGATTAATTTGCATTTTAAATGAAGTATTCGGCGGTGGTCACGTTTTGCTATTTTTGCGCCGAATTAACCCTATCTCCATTCCTAAAGGGGTCACTGAAAATCTTTACAACGTTACAGTTTGGATGTTGGATCAATGAAGCTAAAAATATATCTTATTTTTGGCGCCTTATCATAAACTGTAATATACTACTGCATTTAAACTTAAACGCATATAATTTTCAGATAAAAAGCTTATTAGTAATGTGAAAAAGAACAAGCTCTTTACACAGCTCATGAGACAGCGATTTAACATTTTAAACTTGTGCTTACATGCACCACAACTGCTTTTGTTTTGGAAAGGGCTCACGATGTTTACAAAAAAACTTCATAAACGAGTTAAATCTGTCAAAATAATTTTTACGAAAAAAAAGGAACCAAACTAATCAATTTTTCCACTGCGGTTACTAAAATAGGTATAGTCATGCTGAACATTTAAAAACTTATCTATTAAAGCTTTTAAAACACGTGAACAAGCCTGACACTTTGTTACAAAATTGTCTCAAAAAAGCAATTTTACCTCAGCTTACTTCCTCGTTTTGCATGTAGCTGGTATTGTACAGTTCTTCTCCCCTTCATCCAGTTGAGAAAACTTAGAACTTGACGCTTTGAAAGCCATGATTATCAGGTTGAAAGTTAAAAATATACTTCTTTTGCTGCTACAGCTAAAACGAACCCGGAGAAAACGAAGTGGTTGGCAGCCGCCGGCAGCGACAAAAAAAGGCGCCAAAAGTCCTGGCCCCGGTTGTTCAAACGTTGGATAGCGCTCTCCACCGGATAAATCACTATCCAGCGGATAAGTATTACGGAAATCAATTACGCTATCCGCTGGATAGTGATTTATCCGCTGGATAGCGCTATCCAGCGTTTGAACAACCGGGGCCTGCACGTGAGTGCAGTCTTCCTATTGGTTGTTGATGGAAGTGGCTTTATGGGGATAAAAAATATTTAATATGACCCCCCTCTAAGTAAACCTCTCTTGTCCAGGGTAAAAACGCCCAGGTCCCCTACGAAAGTAGCCTCCCACGCAGGCGTTTTTACGGGAGCTCATTGTGGGGAGGGATGAAAGAAGAGCTCCCCTAAAAACGCCTGTGTGTGAGGCTACCATGAAAGTTTCGAAAAGTTACTCTAAAATACTAAGGTTATTCAATTTATTCAGTTTCTTGCTTGATTAAAAAGAGTTTGCGTATTGCCTCTTGTTCAATGTCGCAATGTCAGCAGTCAATTCGTTCCGAAGCCAGGATGGGCAAACGGTCAACGAGGCTAGTGACATTGACGTTAAGCTTTGAAAGAGCGATATAGACTATGAGTATTCCCCTTTTTTTCCTCAGGGATAGTAAAGCGAGCAAAACGCGAGCGCGGGCAGGGGCGGATCCAGGATTTTTTTTAGGAGGGGGTGCACTGGTCTCTTGCTCTACTTCAACACCAATACACCACATTTTTTTTTTTTTTTGCAGAATACCAGTTGTATTAGGAAACCGCAGGTCATCTCGGGGGGCGGGGGGTGGGGTGCGCACTCCCTGCACCCTCCCCCTAGATCCACCCCTGGCGGGTGATTTTCACGGGCCCTCGCCGTTTCGCTTCGCTCTACTATCCCTGAGGAAAAATGGGGACTACTCGTAGTCTAATAGCGACATGGATTTCTAATCAATTGATGTGCTGGATATCGCAACTATATATAAACTCCCTTGATATTTTCGCTAAATCATATTAGGTTTTAAAGAGATTGTTTGAAAAACAAAAGAACATGCACACATATAAAGCATATTTAGCGTCGTGCGTGGGAGAAGGAATAATAGGAGAAGGGACAATGGATTGTGTCCCTTCGATGTCTATTTGAATTGGAGAAAAAGTGTCACATAAAAAACAAACAAAAGCAGGGTTGAGAAAAATCTAATGTTGTCTTAGTTCGAGGGTAGGACAAGAACAAAGACAAAACCTTGAGTCACCGACAGAATTCGAAGCTTTGACCTTTTAGGAAGAAAAGGGAGACTCAAGTGTAGAGCAAGACTATTTTAGTCTGCACTATAAGTATTATTGGAGGTGCTCAGGCGGGTTTAGGGTGTAATACAGGCTTCCACCCATCTACACAGTTCATCTGTGACGCACCCATCGGAACTGTGAACATGTAAAAAAGCCGCACAACCCCCCCCCCCTCCTATATTTAATAAATGGAGAAAGCCCGTGAGTTGCCACTCAGTGAGATGAAAATCTAAAACTCTTTTAATCTATGACTTTCAATGACAACAATTGCCTATATCAAAGTTAAGTGTGCAACATTATATGCTGTTCAAAAGAGTGACAGTATCGGTAGTAAGAAAATAACTGGCTTACAATTATAAAGCTGTATTACACGTGTACTACGGCAAGTTATATTCACACGAGTCGGTCATAACTTTCTTTAGTGAGGGATACCATAAACTCTTGCCGTAACGGTTTCCGTTCACACCTATACAATGATTGTAAACGAATGATTTTTTGAAGGCGCTAGAATGGATAATTTTTTTTAACGCTATTCCGTCGCGGCTTCGTCATTCGCTAAGCAGGCTAAGTGAACGGAGAAATTAAGCGGTATAGTGCATGTGAACATAGCCTCAACCTAAATGGTGCTTACAGTGGGACCCTGTTAGCCTGTGCCAGGCTCTCAGATAGTATAGCGGGGGCGTATTAAAACGAGCAAAGCTAAAATAAGACGCGCGCGACTTGGGAAAGGGGGCGGTGGCGGCGGGAAAAAGGGGAAAAATGCGCCCTGTCTCTTCCCAGCCCCCGCGCGTTTTTCGCATTCCTTTTTACTGAACGACTTTTCACCGCTATCTTGGAGCCTGGAACAGGCTAAACCTCGTTAATACGGTCACCAACGGGTCAAAAAGTATTGGCCGTATTTATGGGTGACCGCATTAACGGAGTTTGTTTTATAAGAAAATGTATCGCTCTTCTGCCGGGCGGGGCCGAAAAAAAGTGGCCGTGATAACAATGTGACCGTATTACCGAAGTAGCCGTAAGGTAGGGTTCCACTGTAAATCTACCGTTCAGGTCAGTAATGTACCTTCAGGTTAGTCCGGGGATCTGGTGCATTATTACAGCTTTAATACATTCTCTGTAACCGTGGTTGGTGCGAAGTTGCATTGCCCGTATGTTAGTAATCTTATATCTTGTTTGAGTTATTAACTTACTGAGAACAAGTCGCAGGTAAAGCAGATAAATGGAGTAAAGCGAAAAAGGGTCTTGCAGACGACCTTCGGCTTCTCTCCAAATTACGCTTGTTGGGACTGGTCAAAGGCTACATTTTGATTTATAAACCCACTACTAAAAAAGCTTGTTTGGCGGCTATAGTTTGTTGTAGCTAAAGTTTTCTACGCTTTAGGTGGTATTGCTCCAGAGTCCACGGGCCCAGTGGCTGCGGGGTACTGTGGTGGAGGGTAATGGCCTACCGAGGGATACTGGGGCGGATAGTTTTGAACAGGATATTGTCCAGAGGGATACTGCTGGGAAGTGTACATCAGTGAGGACTGGGTACCAGCTGGTTGATGCACCACTACCATTCCAGGTTGCTTGATACATAAAACGGAAAAGAAACAGAATATTATTATGAGTCTAAGACAATATTCGAGCCTTCAACCATTTTTTGACAAGATTCCGTTTTCGCACATGGCACTGGACAACGGTTCTACTGAAGTAGGCAGTAAGCTGCAACGGTCTGTAACAACATCGTCGCATACCAGACCCAAAAGGGCATTCTCTTTAAAAAAAAAAAAACACTTTTCGACAAATTACTTCGTAGTGCAATCGATCTACGGAATTGAGACTCTATCTGCGAGTCTGAGATTGGATGATCCGTGTTCGTCTCTTTTACTGTACCGAAGAGTACAGGCTTAACCATTAACAGAATAGGCTGTCTAAAAGTGATGTTACACAGAACGATTCGCCACACAGCGTTGTAATGCTGGAACAATGTTGTGACCATTCGAAACAATGTCGCAACAATGTTGCAACGCTGTGTTGCGCTAAAAATCCTCGTTGCGAATCGTCTCGTGTGACATCACCTTAAGGGTGTGGGAGTGAATTATTTCATCACTACATTTTATTGATTAGCTAGCTGTAGTAACATGCAATCCCGTGAGTTCCGCAAATACATCGTGCTTAGCATTACAGTTTTTCGTTGGCGGGGTCCTGGAAGTAGAGCTTGTAATAAAAAACAGTCGTGCAACACTTTGAAGAAGAGTTACAGTATAAACTCTATTGATTGACAAGAATTTGTCGGCCTCACTTTCAAGTTTCAAATCTTGAGTATGCTGTAAATAAGATATAATAGAACAGTAATAAAAGTTTAAAAAGGAACTACTTTGAGACAGAATATGCACTAATCGCTGAAATCCTTGGCAACTGCCTTTGAATTCGCAGTGAAGTACCTCACCTGATTCTTAGCACAGCAAGTTCCCAGACACCCAATAATCGAGCCAGCCAGGGTCGTAATCGTGCCCAGAGCAGAAAATATGGTAATGGCGAGGAAGAGACCGTCAATCAAAGAAATAAGCTCGCATGTCTCCACTTGACGAAATGAAGAAAATAGAAGACCAAAAAATAAGCCATATATAAGCCTCGTCCCGCTAACACATGTCTATCAAAATTATTGAACTTCGGCCTATGTAAAACACTGCCGTGTACTTTCTTTTATTTTGGAAATCCTTTTTTTTTGTCTATCATAGCAATCACAGTGAAGAACATCTACAAACAAAACAACCCTAGCAGTGGTTGAGAGAAAGAGGGTTGTCTGAAGTGAAGGATTCAGATTTAGAGAGAGCCCCGCTAATCCACAGCCAAGAAAAACAGGGGGAGAGGTGACCTCGGAAATTATTTAAGGGCTAATGTTTTTCTCAGCCCTGCAGGCTTCAGCCGGTTTGGCCCAAAAATATGGTGGGGCCCCTCCCCTAGATCTGCCAGTGGTCTGTAAACAATCGGTTTCTTCTACATCAAGAGGTAAAATAAGTGCGTATTTCTTGGAGTTTCCTGAGACACTAACTCAAGTTTGCCTCACTATAATATTGGTATGTCCTACACTTTAATCTCCATATTTTCGGTAAAACAATCCCGTATTGCAAGGAAATAACGATGGTCCCGCGAGTGTAAGGTTAATACAGACTTAACTGTACTTACATTCAATAGGAATAGATTTGCCTTTGCTGTTTCTACAACGACATCGACCACCATATACCCTGCAGTCCACTGCAACCTGGAACAGACTCCAAAAGACGTACGCTATAGCTGCAATGGCGGCTTGGATAATCATGACAATCACCAGAATAATGCACGTCACGAGGAAAAATATCATCTGTTGGATAGTGAGAGTTGTTTTTGGTACTCGCATCAGAACTACACTACATAAAAGTTGTCAACACTGAGCCGCATTCGACAAGGAAGTGTCAAGAAGCAAGGAAAAAAAGAATGAATATTTTTCTGAATTCAGGTTTTGCGGGACTCATCTTTATCGCCACCATTATCATCGTCATCCTATCGTCACCATCATCATCATCATCATCATCATCAAAGTTGAACAGGTTCATTTTTATAACAAAAAGCGAAAGCACTTACCAAGTTCTTGTTTCTGTTCCGCCATATTATCATACCCAATACGGCAGCAAAAATCAACTGCAAGTAAAAATAAGTAAAGTAAAGTAAAGAAACAAAGTTTTAATTCCCTTTCAAGACGGAAGATTATAAATGTTCTTCTTCAGCGACGGATCTACGGGGGAGAGGGGGGAACCGGGGGACCCAGGCCGCCAACATATTTTTAGCGCAAACGGCAGTCCGCAAGATCAAGGAAATTGTTTTCGATCCTGACCCCTCTCTTATTTTAGGGACTGGATAAGAGCTAATTATAACTTACGTAAAGACTACAAATCTAAAATTGCTACTTTTCCAGAGAAATCCCAGTTTTCGACATCGAAAAAAGGGCTGAAGCTAAACATGAGCTCTTAAATTAAAACGAAAAACATATTGCATTATATTTTGACTAAATTCTCAGCAGGCGCATCCTAACGACTCGTAAAAAGATTTCCATAAATCAACGAGTGTATTTGACAAAGTCAGGATTTGCTATTAAAATGATCTTCTTTTGCCTGGCGCAGTGGACGAATAAGCATTAGTTTTGAGTTAGGTCAATCTTTAGGAAATGTTCCCTTGAAAAAACAAGGTCGTATTGGACTTGATAAATCAGTTAAATCTGTTAATTTAATATTGTGTAGATGTACGGCGTAGCAGGTGTCGAACACTATTCTAACTTGTTGTCTATCAAGAGCACTGATGTTTTTGTATATTTGCTCCACGAGCAATGAAATCTTAGGTTTATAAGGGGCCTGTGAGTTAAAAAATTAGTTAGTATTCCGTGTGCAGTGTCAGATTTTGGTAGTTTGCTTAGATTTAAGCGTGTAAGCAGTGGTCAGGGAACATTAATTCACGGCACTCGAAAGATTTAATGGTTTTGATATGCAAATATGAGGAAGATTGAAGGAGAATAGACTAAAAAGGTAAACAATTGAGACAATATGGCACCTTCGGTAACAGATCACAAGATCCGTTCAGAAAGAAGTTGCGCAGTTAATACATTTCTTTATAAGACTTTTATAGCTTGATCCTAATGCTTCATGAAATTTGAAGTATTTTTTCTTTTAAATTTGTGAAATCTATAGTCATTTTTCAGTTTAATCAAACCTTTATAACGCATACCTATTTAAACGCAAATTAAATGGAAAGAGTAGGGTTACTTTTAAGAAACCAAGCGTAGTAGTAAGCGTCTCTTAAGTACCTTGCTGTTATCAGGAGCGAGTTAAGAAACCCATCACTTACTTATTTCTTTTCCCTATATTGACGATGGAAATCGTCTCTCAATATTAGTAACACTGCACCATATCATTACGCGAGTATAAATTATTGAATCAACAACGGCGGCTGCTTTGCAGTGCGGAAACTGTTTCCATGAGGTGACTCGATAGCCAACTCTTAAAGCGAGAATTTGTTCATGCGATACCTCAAAACCCTCAGCCGCGAAGAAAGGCAAAAAAGCCTCCAAGCTAAGAGTCCAACAGTACTTTTCCTAGACACCCACACATGCAATATTCTGAAAGCGCACACCATCTTTTTCATTAAAAGGACAGTCCATAAAACAAATAAACCTTTACAGAGTATTTTTGACGAATGATTTTGACGAATGATTGAAAGTTATAAGGAAATTCAAGGAAAATTAAATTAAAAAAAGAAGAAACTTAACTTTCTATTGCCAGCCTTCTCGAATCAAAGTTAAATAATATATATTTCTCTTCTTTTGCCGGGCGCAGTGGACGAATAAGCATTAGTTTTGAGTTAGGTCAAACTTTAGGAAACGTTCCCTTGAAAAAACCAAGGTCATATTGGATTTGATGAATCATATAAATCTGTTTGATATGAATGAAGTATGGGGCGATAGACATAAAACTAACTTTTGTTAAACTAAGTATGAGTTAATTGTTTAAGAAAAGCGAAGTCTTTGGGCTAAACGACTTATCGCCATCGCCAACTGCACCTGTCCGTTGCCTCAACGCCTATTTGCACTGTTTTCTTGACTTCCGTCCGTTGCCCAATAACTTAAAGGAAGCGTATATATATATATGGTATCTACAAACTGAAGTACTTTATTTCCAGATAAATAGTAACAGAAATAACCTACCCCAAAGCCAGACCATAGTCCGTGTCCTCCGTATCCATTATGCCCAAGCCAAATGAAGCCACAGATCACATTTCCCAGACCACATATACCCACTGCTATTCCAACGATGCCAGTAGTTTTTGCTAGGTTAGCTTCTACCAAATTCGACATAGTTATTTTGTTTCGAAGTCAAACCAAGGGCGACTCGTCAAGGTTCGTCGAACATGCGTCTGTAAATCGTCTGGCAGGTAATTCAGTCAGTCACCTGCTCTCATCCCATCCAATAACATTATCATGAAATGCAAATGAATACTGACCGATGTTCACATCTGTGTTGTACTTGGGCCTTTTTACAGACGGAAATGACAGATTCCCCCACTCTGTCATGTACCTCCACTTGTGAAATTTCTACGCTTTCACATACCTGAAGCCTGAAAAAGGTACCCCTTTCGGGCGGAGCCTCCCCTTATGGGTCATTTTAAAGAGTACCCCCCGAGTTATATCTTTAAGCTTTAAGAGTGATCGGCATCAAATTTCTCCTTGTAATATCAACACTTTTTTTTTAAAGTGTTTTGGTCATGAGAATTAGAGATGACCACAGAAGACGAATTAATAATGCTCTAAAAACTTCTCCCGACTGCTTCTATAGCAAGTGTATAGAGACAACAAATGAGAATTAAGATTTTGATATAAGGGTTTAAGAGTTAAGTCACTTTAAAAATTACAGTAGAATCCCGATTTCTACCCCTAACATTGCTTAACGCACCTAGTTTTCATTTGCAATGCTAAAAGCATCAAGCCAAGCATAGTTCGAGTCCTTGTTTGTTATTTCGCCCCGCTAAAAAGGGCCTAGACGTAAAAGCAAGAACAAGCGCAGAAAAAATCTAAACGATCTGCCTTTTCCGTTTCCTGTGCTTGCTTCGGCTTTCGTTTTCTCTTGACGCAAGACTCAGTATTCCCGGGTCTATTACTTAAACCTTTTTTTTTGCGTCATGGTTGCATCGCTTGTGAAAACTAGCTTTTCGATATTGGCATCTAATACGAATGGATACAAAAATGGGGATTTCCGGAAAGGCAACAGTAGCTTGAAAAAAAAAAAAATCTGTTCTCTGAAAACAAAAATATGTAGGTATTTATTAAGCTGATGAACCAAAACTGAGAAGAGTTTATGGCTTCATTATATCATGTTCCTTGAAGAAAGAAAACCAAAATAACAAAAACAAAAACAAAAACAAAAAAACACGGGATCAATATTACCATAATAATTTTACATGCCACATATGCCAGAATGAGTGTTAACGTAACCACCGTAACATACATTAGTTTTAACCAGCCGAAACCAATCGTGGAATCGCACGCATTTCGGCCTCCTACTGATAAGACTGCTCCAGGCGTTCAGATAGTAGAGTGCGGCACCAAGTCAGAGAGGTGGGGGGAGGGGGGGGGGGAAAGGTGGTAAGAAGGGGGGAGAGAAAAAAAATGAGACAGGAGGAGGTTCCCTCGCTCTCACCCCCTATTCCAGCCTCTTCGCTGTTTTGGCTTCTTACATCTTTTTGTACCGTCCCTTCCATCTAAACGCCTGGAACAGGCTACCTTCTAATAAACAGTTACCGCACTTGAATATTTGCGGGAGCAACAAACAGTCAAACTCAATTAAACACGGTGAAACTGTTTAGTATTTATTTTTCTGTCTACTTGAGCAGGCAGACGCGCTAAAATAACAGATAAAAGTCTAGACAATATTGCAACGAATATTTACATCAATTGCTTACAGTCAGTATAGTCCAGTCGATCTATTATTTTTACTCTCAACGAGCCTGAAATTAGTTCGCATTTTGAGTAAAGCTTTAACCGTAACACCAGCAGTGATTTTGTTACAAATAGTTAGGGTGAGTCCTGGGACTCATATTGTGAACAAATCATGAGTCCCTGTCCAGAACCGTCGAGTCCCACTTCAAAAAACCAATAAGTCCTTAACTGAAAATGCTTTGGCCTTTATGTGACCAGGCAGATAAAAGATAATCTTTTGTAAAGCAAAACGAAGACTAAAAGAAATTTGCGTCGTTAAACAACGGCCACAAGAACAGCCACAGAAATCATTCGAACAGGTTATTCTACAAAACCATCTTCAGATCGATCGATTGATCTTTGCGTCCTACAGGATGCATGCCATGAACTTTCGTGCGTCTTTGGGGATTTTTATGCGTCCGGGACGCAGGACGCAGAGGTAACAAAAACACTGCACCAGGTGGAATTTCCTTTGCAATAACAACCTCAGGGCTTTTTAAGCGCTTGTTAAGTGGTCCTGCTACAATATTACTACGGAACTACGGAACGGAAAGTCTGTACCACTTGATAAAAAGAACAATACCTTCCTGGTCTCAAAGACAAGCCTTTTAAAGGACGCATGATAACTTTAAATATAATCTCTACCCAGAACTGTGTTAAATTACCTGGATACAAGATTTCAATAATAAAACAATGACATTAATGATCTCGTATTTAGCATTTTTTCTCACTTTGAAATTACGTGAAATTTAAAATTAATAGTAATGATGTGAAAATCGAGCTGTGTCAGAGACAGACTTAAATTAATTAAAATATTTCTACAAACTGCCTGCTTTAATACTTGCAAAGCTCTTAACTCTGAAAAATAAATAAGAAAGGAAAAGCATAAGCACAAAAAAAAGTCATTCACATGGATATAAAAGACATAATATTGTAATATTGTACTCCATCTCAATATTATACTGTTCTATGTAAATGCCTTAAAAACAAAACACTAACAACCGAATTCCATGCCTACAACTTTCTTGCCTGCGTGCAGACGTCTACTATTTCCTTTGTGTGCAACAAAGGAAATAGGAGACGTCTGCACACAGGCAAACAACTTTCTATCTGTACAGTCTAGAGATAACACAGGTGAAATGGCTTTGAAACTGCAACAGTGATCAGGACAATCACATATACAACAGTAAAATGTTGATGGGGACTTGGCTTAGCTTCCTTCTCAATATGAAAAACCATGGGTTTTGAAATTCTGACTGGTGACATACATCCCTCACCTCAGAGGACCTTGTAAATGCATACTTTTAGTCTTGGACCCATACAGCCAAAGAAGGAATCTTATGTTAAGATACTTAGAAGAACTGTTGTTCCCCTTTATTACAACTTACAAAGTAAGGGAATCGGTATGAAGATGAGTAACTTCAAAACTAAGGGCCCTTTCCAGAGGTTGGAACTGCCTGGCTAGGTACCAGTTTCTTGAAAGTCTCAGTAGCTTTTCAGGCCCGAAAAACTGTTTTATGTTTACCGTGTTTGCACTTAAGATCAAAGTTTCAATAATTTTGAAAATGATACAATGAAACTATTAGTTAATGAAGCAAAATTGACCGGTTTTAGAGCTATCAACTGTGCTACCATTCAACAGGTTTTACAGTCAACTCTCTCTAAGATGGACACCTTTGGGACCGGCACTAAGTGTCCATCTTAGAGAGGTGTCTGTCTTATAGAGAGTCAAATAAAAGGAGTAAAGAAAGGCAGGGATCATCTCTAACTGTCCGTTTTACAGAGGTGTCCGTTAAGAGAGAGTCAAAGTTATAATTCTAAAATTTACCTTTGGGCCCAAAAAGTTACCCAGCCTTTCAAGAAACGGGCTCTAGAATGGTCATGTTGAAATAATCAATGAAGTGGGTGTTTTTAAGAGTTTTTGTTGAAAAACCCACCAACTGCATGCATATCATTTAGGAATTGACTGATCTGGCAGGAGAGTTTTCAGTGTGAAATACTTATTTTAACAGGAATGGTCTGGTTGGCCAGTTCTGACAAATGGAAAGCACATTAAGAGAACTGTCTGTGACTAAAAGTTGTCCAGCAGAATAGGTTAAACTGTATTAGCAGAAAACACAGCAGTTATTGTTTTACCTGAAAAACGTCAAATTCTAATCTGAATGCTTCACCGGGCTACGTGAGCGACTGCGTCTTCGACTGTATCTCCCCCTGAAAATACAACAATGCAAACACTTGGCAACTACTCCTGCAAGGCGGGGGGGGGGGGAGGGGGGCACTCTGAATTTTGTAAGGGGTATTTATCCCAGCCTCCTTATATTACCTATTTCTGGACAGCTGAAAAAACTTACTGTGAATAGTCCTGGGATCTTGGTGGTGGAGACCTACAGACACAAAATGTAAAAAAGACGAAAAAGTCAGCAAAGTAAGAAAATCATTGATGACAAAAATTAAAAAGACATTTATAATGGGTGGCAAATAAGATGGGCCATGTAAAATTCCAACTTTGTTCAGAATCCAGAAAGCATCGTTAACTCTCTTCAAAACAAAAAAAAACACATTCTAAAAAATGGCCAACCCCAGTAAGGTTAGCAAAATGGTTCTCAGGTTTGCAAATTTATTTGTTCAAACAGAAATTTATTTTTGTCCAGTTACAGTCCATCCTCTGGTCCTGACACTTTCTGGCTTTCAATTCTCTCTTTGATGAATCTAACTGTTTTTACAAAATAGCTAAGACAGTACACGCGCTCTGATTGGCTGAGAGGCGTGTTTGCCTGAGAGTACGTAAACATGACGTCAAGTAATAAGAATTAATTAATATGTCTATAGTTATCTATATCTCACTTAAAAAGATTTTTTGTTATGATGACATTATCTAAAAGTCAAAGAGTACTATGCACAAGTATGAACAAGGCAGCTTTATTACTGCTAACCGTTACCATCTGAGAACAACAAACAAACCAGCGGGTAAGTTATTATTTTCACTAAAATGAAGTGGTGCACATGGAAAGGCAGGGACTCTCATTCTCAAGTCAAATCATATTGTTATTGTTGTCCTTACGTTTTATAAGCAAACCGAGGGCAACTTCTAGGATATTGCAGCGCTCCATTAGAAGGACACCTGGGGCACTTTCTTCAGGCACCCCTTCACATAAAGAGTTTGCGGCAAAATACAAAAGGTTAAATAAATCTAATTAAACTTATAACTCCAGCTGTTAGCCACCCAAATGTACTTACATCCAGACACAATAGACTATTTCTACCCTTAAGACACTTACATCTGAGCTACCCGGTGATAAAATTGACAAGTAAAGGTGTTTTGATGCTTCAATATAATCAGCGTCACGACTACATATACTAAGCCTCATTGGTGTCATAAGATGACTTGGGCAACCTTAGCTCTTCTAGGGGTGAAATTCTTCTGTCATCTGCAGACATTAGCAGCACTGGAAGCTGCTGGAAACAAGTTGACTGGAACAATCCTTTAGAGGAAAAACCTTCTTGCCCTCACATGGATGCAGAACTTAAATTAACTTCTGACTAATGGCTTGCATGGATTTTTGGTGTAAAAATACTCCTGCCGACACATCAAACCAAAACAGAAGCATGCAGAGACTCAATTTGGGGGGAGAAGTGCAACGAAGTAACATCCACTTTTTGCTGGTTGAGTGAAATCTGTGAAAACTACACAGGAAAGCAGCTAAGGTTTGAAGAACTGAGCCTAAAATGTTGTAAGGGACAGATGACGTAGAGTGGTGAGGAAAAATGCTTCTGCTGTTGACTGGGTTGCAGGTTTTTCGCTTAATTAACAGGTGTTGGAGGGATTGAAGGATGTGTAGTCCCAGATGTAATGCAGAACTTTGTCGAGAGCTTAAAATTCTTCTCTGATCAGAAGAGATGTTGAATGGGTTTGGAAGGACTAAAAACCCTTGAATGAATCACCTATAAAAATGGTAATCATGACAGTTAGTAAGGCTCTGTCCCCTGCACATTCAAATAACCTAATAAATTAAAATGAAAAATAAAACGTTTTTTTAAAAAATATTAGTTCTTTACAAAGTAATACCAATAATAACATGGTTTCAGTCAGCACAGAAACATATAAGCCTGTCCAGGGTTACATGTGTCTGGTCAGCATTAAAGCACAAATAAAATGGAATGTTGGTCAAGAATAAAATAAAATGTTTCGATTTCATTTTCAACTCAACATACATTTTTGGCAGTACCAAAATACAAACCTTAGCCAGAGTACGAGACTAAAATTTCCTTCTGACCACTTGAATGCACACAAATTAAATTGTTTTATATACTTTAATCTTCTCAAACAACCAATCTATTCCATTTCATGTACACTTTAACGGTAAAAAAGGTAATAAAGGCACGGTTAATACCTCTGATGAGACTGTGAGAATCGTTGACTGCCATAATCTCCACGGCTATAGTCATTTCGTCTGTTATCATCTCGCCTGTCATACCTACTGCTGCTTCCTCGGTAACCGCTTCCACGACCTCCTCGTCTCCCACCTCTACCCTCTTCACGGTTTCTCGTCCTTGAAAGTTCAACTCGTAACTTTTTATCACCAAGACGCCTTCCATCCATAGCTCTAACAGCTTCCTCAGCATCTCGGAAATCTTCATAATGGACAAAGGCAAATCCAGGGGGACTGCGTGCTACCCATACATCACGCAGTGTTCCATATTTGGAAAAAGCTCTCCATAGCTCTTGCTTGTCACCACTGTTGCCTAAACCACCTACATACACTTTTTCTGACATATCCTCTAAAACAAAATTGGATGGTAAAGTTGCAAAAAATTGAATTCCATCTTTTCCCAGTATACATAAGCTAATATTGATAGAGGGTTATAAATATCCACATCAAAAAAATATACTAACTATGGAAATGTTTAGACTTTTTGCCAAAGTTTTTGCTGATTGACTCCTGAAAAGACAATCACTAGGCCTTTCGGGCCAATGCTAGTTCGGGGGAACTCTAAATGATAGGAATGGGGCCGCTTGTTGCCAAATTGGAATTACTAAACCCCTAAAGCAGAATCATTACAACCATTCATCACTTGGTCTTTTTACTAAACGACATAGCCTAGAGTTTGGCATTAGGCATGAGTTTCTGTAGTCAGGTTTATCCTGCAATTGCTTAGTGTCAGTGAGATGCTATTTACAGTTGTTAGGGAAATCTCCATTCATGATACATGATGCTTCCAAATTCTGATAAATATTGTTTCTGGGTATGTCAACCAAAAATTAATTTTTAGTTAGTCTTATGAATGGGCATATACCGTAACTGATCTAATAAATGCCCACTGTCAAAAAAATGCCTCTTATCTAATAAACACTCCCCCTACGCTGTTAAGTTTGTATTAAACGCCCCTGTCTAATAAAGGCCCCCCCGTAAAAATTGCTCAAAAATATTACGAAACGGTAAAATGGAGCAAAATCAATCAATTTATTAATTTCATTGCTTGATTAACGTCGGCTTGTGTATTATGTCATGTTCAATTTCAAGTTCAAAGTAAGGATAGTGCTCTTTGATCTTCTTGATCTCAGTGCGCACTCGTTAACATACCCTCTTGATTGTAGCAAAAGAGAAAAAAAGTTAAATTAGAAACCTTGGAGTGCAAAAGCCGTCGGCCTGCTGTCGAGATTTTGTTAACACACAAAAAGTTTTTGGCCGAAAGCTTATTGTATTAAAAGTTACAAGAATAAATGTCTCTCTCTTTTAAATGCCTCCCATCTATTAAATGCCCCCTTTTGGACCCTAAAATTTAATAAATGCCCCTGGTGTTTAATAGCTCATTTACAGAAAACCTCATTCACCTCATTCCCATCTCATCTCAATTTTTTTTACGTTGACAAGTACCACTGTTGCACAGCTACAAATCATTCATCACAACAATGTCGCATTAATGCAAATGTTGCATCAATGACGTCAAACAAACTGGATGTGATTCTAACAAGAAATTTTCTTCCTTTGAAACCATTCACATGGTAAAAACCTTCTTCATAAAGAATTTGTCACAGTAATTGTAACTAACTTAGCTTTAAAAAATTACATTTGCTCCATGTTGTTCATTAAAAAGACGTACCCCTTCACGGCTTGTTATAAGCTTGTGCTTAACAAATCAAGCGAGAGGATTTTTTAAAAAATACAAGATTATTTATTAGCGACTAGTAGTATCTCTTTAAAAGGAATCAGTACGAATTTAATCATATTAAAACTTGATTGAAACTGAATCATGAAAAGTATCCTTACTAACAAGAATTGAACCAAGACAAAGACTATCCTTCTTCACTACAAAATGTAAGGTTTCATTTTGAGAGTTTTGACAGCTGGTGGAAATTTCGAACACCGTAAAAATTTCACTTTGAAAGCAAATAGTCCATTTTAACCTTTCGTAATAAAAAAGACATAATACTTTCAACTTCCTCACCTTTAAATCCCGTAAATAATTGCTTAAAACGCAGGTAAAACTCCTAAAAATTCTCGCACCTTTACAAACTTCCTCACTGTTTTTGTTTTCGTGCAAATGAATACGTCCAACAAAGAAGGGATCTGACGTCATAGTAAGTAGTCACGTGGGATGCGCAGCTGGTGTCACCTGCTAAATGGGGTGTGACTGGAGCCCACGGGTGTGTCCAAGGGAATGGGTTACATTCTTCTGGGGTCGGCTCAGTTTTTCCTTACGGGTAAAGACAATAATACCACTGAACAGTATAACGTGGAAAAGCAGTCTGTGTGGAAGAGGCTGATCTACTCCTGATTTTCACTCTATATTCTGCTCGTCAATTTTTATAGGCATTTAACATACACGACCAAGCCTTCTTTAAGACTACATTCATTCCACCCAAAATTAAAAAAACGATCTGTCATTCGGCAAAAATCTCTCTCTGGTAAGTATATAAGAGGAAAACAGTGACGATATATAAGTAATATGTGTAAAACTTTCATATAAGAAAAGAACGGAATTTTGATTTGTTTAAACATCAGGCTCATGTCGTCAGCTTTGGTGGAGAGCTGATCTCCTATGCATGACTTCAACGATAACCAAATTTAGAAGACCGGAAACCAAAACTCTACATGTTTTTAAAGGGAACAGACGGCAACTTGTTGATGCTTGAAATATCTATAAGTCGTAACTTAATTACCTTTTTTGAAGTAGATCGGCCTCTTTTTCCTTTATTACAGAGTGAACCCATGGCCCGCCAAGGAGAGGAGGATGTTTGCAAAGGAAGGCGAAAAAGAGTCTATGTTTAATCACTAAGCTGTAATAATCTGTTCATGTTGTCCTTCAGCAGCATAATTAAAAATATATAAAACTGTTCTAGTGAGGCATTAAACTGCTGTTTAAAAAGTAAAAACTAAAATCCAAGCTTTCACTCACTAGAACAGTTTTACTAAGCTGTAAAAATACATAAATAAATCTGGAAACTGAGTCTAAACCAAAACAATGCACTGGTTGGAGAGATAACGTGGAGCTACAGAATACCTTGGGCGCTATACGCTAAGTCATATTTCCTTCTAAAGTTTAAAACCAGATATCTAGCCACTTTGAAAACAAACCAGTTGACTTCAGATACTTATGCTTTATTAATAGCAAAAAACTTAGCCAATCAGTTCTATTTAAAAAAATATAAAATGATAAAAGGGGAAAATAAGAATAGAAATAACAAAAACGTTGTGAGGTTAAGGTGATTAGACAGATTCAGATTTACTTATTTAAAAGTGTCCTTGCAGACTTAATTTTACATCGAATTTTTGTGATTTCTTTTTCAAAAAATAATGATTTCTATAGAGACACAGGAGCCTATAACCGATTAGTATCCACCTTCTTAATTTCGGTCAAAGCGTGTTAGATTTTCAGGCTATTTTTTATTCATCTTTCGCTATAAAATACTCTGACCAAATCAGAGCAAAGACGGATTTCAACAACGGTGGATGAGATCAAACATGAGTGAAGTGAAAGGAGTTTGCAGGTTGAAAGTCCCAGGAAGTAAGAACCAAGGAAGCTCTATTTAGGGGATCAACTGCCAAGAGAAACCTAAGTATAGTCGATGATGGCCGGCTTCAACATCATGGACACCAGACAAACAGTAACATATTTTAAAAAGTAGTAACAAAAGCATGACTAAAACCTTGAGACGAAAGACTATGTGATGAAAAGTTAGTAAAAAGAGCTAAATGGAAGTGGAGAAATCATTGAATATCCTGGCCATCGAGAAATGATAGTAACTTGTTCAGATCTGGGCAGCTTGTTACCATATCTTGATACTTGTGCAAGACCTAAGGGAACATGAAAAGTTCAGTTATTCTTTGAACCCTGACGACGTTCTTATATCATTCTTGTACTGTATTGCTTGTTATTTTTAGTGTTTTAAAGGAGCCATGTCAATATTTCAGCATCATTTTCAAAACCATTAAACTTAATTTTTTGTCAGAAAACGGAAAAATAATGTTCATGCCTGGTCAATTGGAGGAATAATAGGACTAAGACCGAGGAAAACGCTGGCAAAACGCCGTCAAAGGTGGGTGGAGAGAATTTTAAGCCTCTTTCCCACGCCGTCAATGTTTTCTGACTCGCTCTTATCAGACAAGGTACTGAAGGGTTTACAGCCTGTGCAGGTAACTACAATTTGTAGGTACTTTTAAAAGTCTAATGGTAGGCAAGGCAGAGTGCTTGAAGTTACGTAATGTGTCTGAGGGCACTACTCCGATCATGGGAGTGAGTTCCAATTTCTTATTCTTATTAACTCTCATTTAAAAGCTGAAACATTTGCTTGTACATGTAAATAGATGGTGATAAGTGAGTTAGTGGCGACAGAAGAAAGAAACGTCGTCTAGCGACGTCTTTTGGTGACTAGAACGAATTAGGCAAACCTCCTGCAGCATCGTGTTTTTTGTACATCTGATAAGATAAGAATAGAATAACAAACTACAACTTACGAGTCGAATCTTTTCTAGCACGCCATCTAGGCGGTAGATCTCCGCTTCAGCCTTCTCAATGTTGCCTTCAAGGACTCGTATCTGTAGAAAATATGATATGCGCATATTAGGTTACAGCTGAAATTACATTACATCATGGAAGTTGTGTACTACTGCCGGAAAAAAAAAAACAAAAAAAAACGAAGAAACAATAGAAAAACCGAGGATTGCCTTTACTTAGGAAGGGTTTCAACCTGGCGATAGTTGTTTCCAGCCCTTTCAAAAGCATTAAAAGATGGTGAACTCCCTAAAACGGACACTTAGAGTTGGTCCTTGCCATACTCAACTTATTTTCTTTTACTCTCTATAAGGCGGAGACTTCCTTAACGGACACCTACGAGTTGGACCCCGATGTTCGCCAGTCATTTTCTTTTACTCTTATATAAGACGGGCATTTCTGTAAGTGACGAAACTCATGGTCTCCGACACGGCGTCCTTCTTAGAGAAAGTTCACTGTTCTACGCCTGTGCATGAGTTGTGACTTCAACTTAAACAATTTTGTGCCAACTTTACGTTACCAGATGTATGACAGTCGGTGCTGCAGTTCTCTCTCACTCAGACTCGTTTTTCTCCAATATGTCAACAGAACTTGGCGGAAGAAGAAATAAATAGGGGGCAGGGGACGGGAGATGGTCAGACGTGTTACCTTTGTATTTGTTCTGTACTTGTATTCTGACATATAGTCTTCAGTCTGCATACGATAGTTTACAGACTTCTCTTTCAGCGTTTGTATCTACAAGCAGGGAAACAAATTTTCACAACTGAATTCACCTCATATCGTAGTCACAAAATGAAATAGTTTCTGGTTTTCGCCCTTCATAAAAGTACCTTTGGGGAGCAAGGGATGGCTCAGTGGTGAGAGCGGAGCGCTCGCCTCCCACCAATGTGGCCCGGGTTCAAATCCCGACGTCGACGCCATATGTGGGTTAAGTTTGTTGTTGGTTCTCTCCTTTGCTCCGGAAGGTTTTTCTCCGGGTATTCCGGTTTTCCCCTCTCCTCAAAAACCAACATTTCCAAATTCCAATTCGACCAGGAATCAGGTAGCCGAAGAACCACTTTGTGGATGTGCAACCTCCAAATCATTACTCATTTATTAATTTTTATTTATTTAGCCTTTCAATGCCGTTATGGGATCGTAATAAAAATATGTATTGCTAATGGAAAGGGTGAATACAATTCCCACCCAAAGACTCTCAATTTGGATGCTAAAGGACTCAGTGAGGACTAGTTCGGAGAGGCATGAGATGCTTCGGAAACTCATACACACTGAACTATCGCCATACCCACACATAAGCTCTAATTCTATTCACCAAGTGTAATTTGGGTATGAAAGACTCATGTTTGACGGTTGTTAGTGCCCTAAAGAGTTGAGTGGCACTGACTTTGGGGATTATGAAGATGAGTGAACACTGAGTTTGGGGCGAGGAAAGAGACCAGCTGACCTTTACGGACAAAGAACAAAGCGGGTAGGACGAGTTCCGATGGGCCGTACTCCAATTTAAGAATAAAAATCAACTAAAGCTAACTATAGAAATATTGCCTCCATTATAAAATCCGCAATCCCATGTAGGAAGCATTCCAACAGCGTCAGAATTCCAATCGTCACAGTTTTTCTGCCCAGAGTTTACTAAAAGAAGCTCCGCCTTAAACGGTAGTTTGTTTTCGGTTTTACTAAATCAACAGCACGTTCAAAGAAATGAATGTACATTACCTTCTTCTCCAAATTGAATTTTTCCTCCAACATCGTCCCAAGAAGGTTTTGTCTGCTGTTAACGTCAGGCTGGGTTTGTGAAAGGTCATCAAGCTTGGCCAGACTTTCTTTCAACTGCTGCGACAAACTCTCATTTTCAACTTCCACTGCCTTGATGTCTTTAGTAAGGCGCCGAAGATCTTCAGTGAGCTCCTGATGCCAAAACAAAACATGCTTAACGGATTCTTTTGGCAGAATAAAACTACAGTGTTTGGCATGTCTGCGGCAAGGAGAAGAATCTTTTCTTCCCATTTATAGTGCAGAGACTCTTTTTAGAGGATCTGCAGAGTACTAAAATAACCAAGCTAAAAAAGACTTGTAAGAACAAAGACATACAAAGAAAGCATTCAAGATAAGTCTTGCATTATGTTTTAAATAAACAGTGTAGCCAACTATACGCATTGGCATCGAGGATCTACAATAAACCCAACTGTGTCCCTAACGTTAGAGTAACGTTAACGTTAGAGTAACTCGCCCTATCTTCGATATATCCCTCCACAAGCTAAACTTAAATGTACCGCTAATGACAGTCATGAGAATAGTGATGGTAATTATCGGTAAAACTATCGATCTGTCCATGTATGGCCCTCTCTCCTCCGCTGAGGCCTATTTAGGGAGTTTTAGCATCGTCGACGGTGACGGTAGCGAAAACGTCACTCTTAAAACGAATTAGCGTTTTTTCAAACTTTGTCGCGTTTATTCCAATTCGCTGAAAATGTCTAATGTAGGCAGATTCCCCTGGAGTTGATTTCTTGGGAAAGGCACTCGAGTTTAGAAAGAGAAAGAGAGTTTCGTCGTCGCTTGTTTACGCGTCCTCCATAAAATATAAAATTAGGCATTTTCACGTCGTAGTCGTGCAGAAACGGCAAAGAAATGTACAAAAAAGCGTGATGCACGTGTAAAGTTGTTGTTTTGCTTAATAAACCTATTGCCGTTTTGACGTTCTCGTTGCCGTCGCTGTCAAAACTCCCTTTTGTGTCGTAGGGAGGCTAGGGGGGAGGGAAAAATGAAAGCGTGCGGGCGCGCGCTAACTATTTTTTTTTTAATTAAAGAATACCCAGCGAGAGCCTCTGCGGAACAGAGAGCATAATGGCTAGAATTCTTTTTTTGGGCTTAGTCGATACAAAAAAAAGTTTTTACCGTTACTTTAGCCTGTTGGTCAATCGTTTTCTCGTACTGTTCACTGAGAGATTCGACTTTTCTAAATGTATACTCCAGATTGGTTCGACTCTCCTCAAGCTGTTTCTGAAGAGAAGTTAATTCACTGCTTTTCTTCGACAACTCTCGGCGTAGACTGGTTTCTGATTTTCTGGAGTCTTCAAGTTCTTTCTGGAGATTTTCAAGCGCTGACTTGTGTTCCTTTTCTAATGAACCTCTACCAAAACAAAACAAAACAAAACAAAACAAAACAAAAAAATAATGGATTAGAATTTAGGAGTTGTGCGCCCAGCGGGTAGTTACTCGAAAAGCCCGGTAACTTTTCGGGTCCGGAAGCGAATTTTGAAATCAAATCCATTTGAATAGTAGCACAGTTTCTGGTTCACTAACTGGTGAATTTTGCTTTGCTAACTGATATTTTCATTGTATCATTTTCAAAATTCATGACACATTGATCTTGAATGCAAACGTGGCAAACGTAAAACAGCTTTTCGGGCCCGACAAGTTATCGGGACTTTCAAGAAACATGCCTCAGGCCCGGCTTGTAACAAATGTTAAAGCGAAACTAGACCATGGCCCAGTTGTTGGAAAGATGGATAACAATATCCACTGGATGAATCTCTATACAGTGGTTAACACAATAGGTTTCCACAATACGTATCCGCTGGATAGTGATTTATCTGGCCCCAGTTGTTCAAAAGGTGGACAGTACTATCCACCGGATAAATCTCTATCCAGTGGATCGTGCAATTGCCTTCCCTAATACTCTTATCCGCTCGATAAGTGACTTATCCGATGGATAGCGCTATCCAGCTTTTGAACAACTGGCGTTATCCAACGTTGAACAACCGGGGCCATGGCAATCAATTTGGGATGGGTAACAAACCTGACAAACGTTCAAGTTCATCAAATTTCTTTAGAAGTTTTCCGGTACGGGGTTTACAAACACAGTCACGGTTGAAGTAATTCATGTAATTAATAAACAAAAGGAAATCATTTTTCACCCTTTCTAGGGCAATGCCGATGGCTTGTTTTCAATGCAAACTTGAAAAGGTTAGAAAGTATATCAGTAGAAGGAGAAGTTCTTATCATAAGACAGAAACACACGAAATGAACGTCATTAATATGAGTTAATCATCAAACCTTTCTTCCTGCAGACTTTTGATCGTATTCTGCGCCTGGACAGGGGCGACCTGGTCACTAGCTATCTTCGCCAACTGTAGTAAGGCTTGCTTAATTTCTAAGGCCTGATCGGCCAAAGTCGGTAGTTTTTCTTCATCTTTCGAAGTCAGTCGAGAGCTGTCGAGTTCACCTTCGGAAATCGGTCGTGAGCTTTCGAATTCATCTTCGCTTCTTTCAAAAATGGGGCTTAATTTCACGCAAGGTCGGCGCGCCTGAGACATAAACAAATGAATCAACGTTAGTTCCCTGCTATCAAAAATCAAGAATATTAATTTTCACTCATTGTTTTGATCTGAATAACGTGGCTACCAATCATTTGTGTGAGGTTAATGTCAGAGAGACTGTTTAGCAAAGACAACGCACAGCCTCAAACGCCAACTCGAAAGAGCATGGAAAGGACTGAACGCGACTTCCGGTGCCGAATTTGGCGCCCTGCCACCGGTCGAGCAGATTTTTTGGCCTGCGCTCGCCATCGTCACTGTCAACGCCTTTTCTTTGCTAATTCTGCGTGTTACTCTTGACGACGTGCCGAACCATGGCCAGAGAGAGATCAGGGAATTTTTTACGTAATCATTCGTAAACATGTTACATTTGGCATAGAAAAGTAATCATGCCTTTCTGGCTGCTATAGGTTTTTTGTACAGAAAGATAACAAAGAATGAGCTAAACATTTTCATGCAATCATGCTACTCACGGGCTGTAGGTTGCTCTCCCTCACGGCTGTCGCTTCTAGAACGCTCTGTACTAGAGACTTAAGAGGCATGATGTGGTTGCTCTCGTCACTTCCGGGGCTTTCCTTGTCAGATACATCGGCGTTGGCACCACTATCCTCATCAACCTGAAAGTCATTTTTAGCTACATAAGTGTGGAAAAAACTTAACCGCGTTAGCTTTCTATTTGTCATGGTTATATTACAGGTAAGCTTGCTCCAGGCTTCAAGATAGTAATGTACAGATCGTGAAAACTGACGCTATAGCGCTCGAAGACGTCGGACGTGCCTCGAGGAGCTCCGCAAGCTTTCTAATAATTTGTTACTCCAAGTGTATGACTGACTGTTCAGGCTAATTGCAGTTAGTTCTCAGGTTTTCTCAGGTTCTCTGACCCCGGTAAACTAGGCTAGGATGAATACTAGTTTAACCTGAGAACCAATTTAATGTAGAACAGCTAAGCCTCACGCCATGTTCTTAAACAATCATGAGTAAGGGTGGATTTCTGATGTCTTGTAATTTTCACGCGCGTACGCGCGTAAATGAAATAAGGTGGACTTCCACTGTCGCGTAATTTTTACGTGAGTACGCACGTATTTTAAACCTCGCTCAACTTTTACGTTTACGCACGGCGTCCTATACATCGCCTCTATTTCTTACGCACGTAAAAATTACGCGACGGTGGAAATCTACCCATAGAGGCAATGTATGGGAGGTCCCGCGCAAACGTAAAAGTTGATCATCGCTCAATTTTCACTTTTACGCGCAGCCACTCCTTCACTGATTGCCTCTTATATACGCGCGTAAAATTAACTAGCGTAGGTAGGTGAAAATTGTGCGACAGCGGATATCCGTCCCTACATTTTTGTAACCAGTCTTCACTTGTTCGCATGCTTCGCAAGTGTTTCCGCGTCCGCGCCTAGTACAAGTATTTGCTTGAGTCTCGAGATGTGATTGGCTTATTTGATTGTCTGTATTCGCTCTGGTTTTGTGACAATCAAGTGAAAGGTGCCCCAAAAATAGTAATTTGTGTTTAGTTGCTTTTCCAGTAATTAAACGCGAAGCGCAAGCAATGTATTATAGGCAACATTGAACATATTATTCGATTTTTTCAGGGTTAGCTTAGAGAGCGAAGTATAGAAGTAATCAAATCACCCAGTGGGATTTGATGACTTTGTAACCTGTCCCGGGCTCTCAGATCATGGGGGTGACGTGTAAGTAAAAGGCACGCGAAAATATGAGCGCGTGATTTGTTTGCGCTTTTTCAATTTCGCGGACCCGACTAAGCCTGGAACAGGCTAATTTGATTGTAGCTAGTGTGATGTAACTTTCCCCTGTACCTCCTGTGAACATTCCTTGCTTAAGTTACAAAGCCAGTCGTTAACGAGCTCCCAGATCTCATTCAACTCCTTTGAGGTTTCCGCTATAACTGCCTCTTGCTGCAAAACAATCCAGTGAGCCTGTGACTGAGTAGCGTCCAGTTCTTCTTGTTTATCTTGCAAAAGGCCTCTGAATATAAATAACGGTAACTTAGAAAAGCTAACCAGCGTGGCAGGCGCCGGTCAGTTAGCCTGCGTAGCGTGGCGGTTTTGTCGTGCGTACTACTGGGCCGAGCGGCGAAGTCGCAAAAGCGCCCGCAAATAAGCGGCAAAGTTTCTCGTTGCTCTCGTCCTAATCTCCTCGCAGTTTCACTGCCCCCACCTTGGCTTGTTTGCGCGCCCGACCAAAACTGCCATGCTACCCAGCTACCAGTTAGTTTGCAGAGCGCGCAGGGGGAACACGTGCACGCGACCCCTTTCTCCTCCTCGCAGTTTCACTTCCCCTACCTTGGCTTGTTTGCGCACCCGACCAAAACCGCCATGCTACGCAGGCTACCAGTTAGTTTATAGAGCGCACGGGGGAACACGTGCACGCGACCCCTTTCTACCTTCTCCCTAACCGGTACCTGGCTATGAAAAGGTTGCATGTGGTATAGATGGTAAAGTTTCTATTCTGTTAGCACAGCTCGATCGTTTTAAAAGCAAAGAATTCAGTATTGAAGCCCTAATGATTTAAAACTGAATCCCCAGTGTATTAAATTACAAGTCCATATTCTTTCAAAGCAAGGCTTTTTTAATCGTGGATGATATAAAAAAAAGATGTGCAGCAGTCGTTCTTTTACTCAGAAGATGACTTAATTGATCGAAACAGTTCAATTCTTTCTTTTCACTTAGTACTTAATACTTAACTAAATTTCCAATCAAAGGGTTCCATTCGTCACTTTTACACTTAATGCGCTATTTTGCGAGTGGACTTACTACTGCGCTAGCACAAAGTAAACTAACCAAGGCTGTGCTCTCAGGAAAATTGAAGGGAGCCCAGTGCTCTGAAACTGTAAAATCTAGGGCGCCTGGCATATGATTTGTATGAAAAATCGGAGTTTTTCTAGTCGCCCAAGGGCAAAAGTTAGGCACCAGAGGCCACCGGGCTCTGCTAGAGCACAGCCCTGCTAACCCAACAATGTCCAACAAAAATGCCTTGACGGTTCGAGATTTTGTTTTGAAACGGTTTTGTTATCAATCAACCGTCACATCCTCGTGCTCCTGACGTAGTTTTTCGGGTATGGTTCCGGGACTTTCAAAACAAAAAACAATGTATAGTACGCTATAGATCAGCACCGTAGTACAGTCGCATGTGGAAACCATCACGTGACTAGTTTTGTAACTACCTTGAGTGTTTCATTTCTTCTGCAAGTTCTTCATATTTTGCAGACTTCTCCCTTAAAGATGCATCTAATTCTGACCTCTCCAGTTTACTCTGTTTTAACTAAAACACCAAACAAGGTAAACGTAAGGATATTTGTCAGGAATGGAGAATAAACAGTTTACTTTGTAGCCTGGTTCCAGGCGTTCAGATAATGGAGTGAGGCGCGAAGTCAGAGCGACAATGAAAAATAAAACGAATATACTTACAAAGAAACTGTTTTCGCGGTTTATCACACGTTTTCTCTTGCACTGCCTACGCTTAAGTCGTTGCCATGTTTTAAGGTCCGTATTGGATACACTTGATCTCGACATGAACAATTTGAAAACACACTAAAGAAGCTTACGTAGCCTGCGAATACAGCCGTCTCTCCTCCCTCCACGTCGCTAGGGACGTTTCGCAGGAGAGACGTCCTTATGGGGCGGGGATGAAAGAGAGACGGCTGGTTTCGCATGCTAGAGCGGCTTAGGTTACCTGGTCTTCCATTTCACAAAGTGTTTTCTCAAGGTTCCTTCTTTCCTCTTCAGTAAATTCATCCACTTCTCGTTGCTGAGATTGTATGTACTAAAGACAACAGAACGAATGCCTATTTGATCAGACTTCATCAAGAAAAAAGAATGCTTAACGTGCTGCATTATTTGGGGATACTAGTTTTAATTTAAGTGCATTTACCATAAACACTATTTTCAATTTGAGAATAGGTACTCAAGGGAATTTCTGTGGATATAGCCTGCCTAGCAAGCGCTTGAAAGTAATAAGGGAGCGAGAAAAGCATATTACTTTTAAGCGCATGTTGCACAGGCTACTATGGATACAACGGAATTTTTAAGAAATGCGGGCTATGAAAAGTTGTTCTTTACCAAACAAATACGATAGAGTATCCCTTTGGTGTGCAAATCTGTGAGGTATAGTTTAGTAACCAAGAGAGCAGGTGGTTAATCTTGAAACAGTGCCTTCGGTATCCCATTGCTGTCGTCTATTTTTCCCCTCCGCGCGTGCCCGAATTCCCCCTTCCCCTTTCTCTATTAACAACTGCCACGCAGGCTAGCTATGTCACAAAAAACATGACCTAGTTTGACAACAGACAATGTATGCTTTGTTTTCAAAGGAGAAAAACACTTTCCCCTTCCCGCTCTAAAATCTCCTCTCTCTCCTAATCCCTAACGAAGGCCTGATACTCAGACTACGCTTTTTAAAGCGATCTATATAGCCCATGATCAGGCTTTCTTGTGGGGTATAGGACGCCTCTCTCCCCCGGGGGCTGGTTAACAGGCGGGGCTATGTTACATACCTCCATTTGTTCTAGAGCGTTCGAGAGCTTCACCTTCAAGTCATGTATTTCACGTTGTTGTCCGTCGATTAAGTTATCCTGCCTTGAGATTTCCATCTTATGAATGTCAAGTTCCGATGCTAAAAAGTCATTTTGTTCGACCAACCTCTCACGCTGCTCTGTCGTTGCCACTTCGATCTCTCTAGAAATTGGACAAAAAAATCGTTTACTTCTTTACTCAGTTCGCAGTCAAAGGGAAGGGGATAAAATACACCACAAAACTAAAGAAAGGGCCTCTTAGTTAGGGGGGAGGGATAAATAGCCACGTTAATTTTCAAAATTCTCTTTCTTGCCCTATAGATTTTTTTCTTTTCCGTCACCAGTCCTTAAGAGAAACAAGTATGACATTTTACGTTGTGGACGTTGCTGAGTTTTACATGGAAGGACACATTGCCGCGCCCTTCATACTTCACTCAAAGATCCTTTATGGTCAAACAGCAGGGCTAACGAACTTTTGTATTTGGTAAAAGTGCATGGTGCTACTAAAAATAACAGAACTTGCAGGTGTTTTGGAGAACTTTTGGACCACTCTTTACGCAGAACAAATTTATAATTAAGTGAGCAAGGTATTAGTAAGGTATGTACAGAACTTTTTCAACGTTAAAGACATCCACTGGTTAAAAGGAATTTTGACTATTAAAAGAAAATTACCATGAAGTTATATTTTTTGTAAATTTTTTAAAGCCGAAAACAAATATACAGTAGAAGCTCTCCTAACCATCACATGGGACACTCCCGTAAGCGGACAGCTCTACTTACTGCCACCTTCACAAAACCTCGGTTTTCTCAACACCAATTAGTACAAACTCAGTATTTTTACATTCCCGTAAGGTAAGCGACAAGCACCAGTTATGGACACAGCCATTTTTGCGTGCCGAGGGTGTCTGCTCACGAGAGCTTCCACTCTTTGTAATATATATTGCTGACCTTGACGTTTTTAATTGACTTTCCAAATCCACGACACGTTTTCTGCTGTCTTCCAGATGCTGGGAGTTCGACTCTAAACACAAGCGTAGCTCATCGATCTGATGATGCAAAATACTAACTGTTATATAATAATGCAAGATCTCTTCTGCATGGATCTCTCTAGACGAGGCATCCAAAACACAAGAGCAGGGTTGTCATTAAGATTTCGAGTTGCGGGGTAAATACAACAAGTAGGTGGGGAATCAAACACCTAGGGATTTCTTTTGGTTCTAATTTCAGGGCTGTACTCTAGCAGAGCCCGATGGCCCATGGCACCCAACTTCTGCTCTTGGGCGACTAGAAAATCTTACAAATCATATGCTGGGCACCCTAGATGTTACAGGTTCAGAGCTCTGGGCTCTCTTCAATTTTTCTTAGAGCACAGCCTTGAATTTTCTTTTATTTTCCATTAAAAGTAGCCCGGGGCCACACTCATGGTAGCCGGGGGAAATCCCCGGCCCCTGGCTCTTAATGACAGCCCTGCGAGAGACAAGCAAGATACATTGCATAATCCTTATCATATAAATTCAAACAGTTCAAAGCTGTGTTGTTTCATAGTTAGTATGATAAGTACAGCGCACTGAATAGATTTAAGTCAACTCTCTCCAGGCTAAGTGTCCTTTAAGAGAGAGAATCAACTTTATACCATTAAACCACTCAGTGAGTATATGAGGAGTGAGTATATACCGTATTTCCTTGAATAATAGTCATCCCTCAATTAATCAACTCCCTCGAATAATCACCCCCCTCTACAGAAATGTTTAAAATAATCGCCTCACTCGAATAATTGCGCCCCCCTCCCCTCACCCCTATTTTTTTTAGGTTACCTGCTAGGGATACCCAATGTGGTACACCTGTTAATTGCAGGGTTAAAGCTAAAGTGGAGTCTGATCCAGCAAAACTGATCAGTGACGATCCAAGCTCTGATGGTGAAGACATTGACATTAAAAAGTGATCAAGGAACCAAATTTGGAACACCTAAAATGTCAATGTTCATTTTATTTGATTTGATGTGATTATTTTTTTGATTTAATGGGAAAATAGACCAAAATATTTAAAGCGCAACTTCTAGTGAGCAATATTTGAAATAATTGCCCCCGGCTATTATTCGAGGAAATACGGTAATACTCATTTAATTCAAGAGAGCAAGTGACCTGATACTGGAGTCCTGCTTCATTTTCTCTGCTGATAGCCAAGTAATTCTCTGCTTCTAGGGCTGCATTCTGTTCAAAAGAAAAACATGGAATAAGACAAAAGAAAGTCAATATTGCATTCCCAAGTGAAGAGTGGCACAGTGAAGTCCCGGGCTTCTAGACCAGAGGTAGTTTGTGATCCAATTTTTAAATTCATGTTACTTTTTCAAGAAAAAATGAAATTTCAGCAAGCCAATTCTATTACATCTATAAAAACATTACTAAGCCATCAGCATTATCATGCACGGCTTGTAGGCGGCATGGAATTCACGGAATGGGAGTGAAGTCTTTAATAGACTGATATAAATACGATAATGCATGATGTAAGTGTACTTGAATGACATTAGTACAAGTTTAAGAAGTACCTTACAACACCAAGATCCTGTTAAAAATTGTCATACATTCTACAGTGTACCAAGGATATTTTCCACCAGTGTTTATACATGTGCACCCATGGGCAAATTTTAGCTATATTACTTCATCAAATTTCTGATCCGAGCTGTGGACCAAGTGCTCAGTCATTCATCTCACCTCTAATCTATCTACCAATCCTTTCAGTGTTGTGCAATGAGCTCTGTTTCTTTGAACTTCCTCATCCTTGTCCTCAACAATGCTACACAGTCTCTGAATTTCACAAGCGTTTTTATCTCTTTCATTGGTTACACCCTTTAATCTGTTCTGGAGATCTCTGTACTGCTCAGTAATAGTTTCAAAGTCTTCTATTTGTTTATTTAGTTTGCCAACTTGATCTTTGAGCTCAGCATTCTTTTTACGGCTCTGGAAAAGAACCTCACTAATAGCCTTTGTGTCTTTTTTGCTCTTGTATAGTTCTTCCTTAACTACAGGAAGTTCCAGTAAGAGTTCTTGTAACTGTTTGCACTGCTTTTGAAGGTCACAGAGCTCCTTTTGCTTTGATTCTAATTCCTTTTCAAGGACTGTAGCTGCAGTTACTATAGTAGTACTGTTCAATGGCTTGTTATACCTTGCTTGCTCCTGAAAGATGCAATATCACAAACTACATGTAACTTAGAGATGAAGGAGGGAAAAATATGATACAAATTCTAGTTCCTGGTTGTCCTCATAATAACAATCTTGATAAAAAACTATAAGCATTAACAAGTTAATATCTTGCTATTACCTTAAAATTAATACTGTAATGATTTAAAGGCATCTTGCACACAACATGTATGTATTGTACAAAAGCTTTGAAGAGTAAGGCAAAATATTTTGGTTGGATTGACTCTGACTTATGAATATTCATCAAGCTGGTGTCTTTGAACTTTGACACAAGTTATTCAACATGACTGTAGCTACAATGAAAAATAACAATATTATAAAATAAGTATGCATAATAAAAAGCTCAAAAAAAATTTATTTTATTTTATTTACAAAAAATCTGGCTGAAAGTTAACATATGAAAGTTTGCTTGATAATCTAGTAAACCAAGGTTTACAAAAATCAGAATGACAGTAAACCATTTGCAAGAAACTTGCCTTCATTAACAAAGACAACTGCCTTTCAAGTCTCAGTCTTTCTTTATTCATCTGCAGAATAATTGACTCATGACTTTCCATCTTTGGCAAGGAATCCTCTTTTTTGACTCTTGAGTCACTCTGATAGTGAGAGAAAATGAAAAATCTGTTAAAAAATAATGTTTTGGAGACAAAATGCTAATGATCACTTATATATCCAATAATTATATTAAAATGCCTTTATGCTAATTTCTTAAAAATATGGTTTTGAATTTTTAAATGGTGGCTGCAAGGCAGCTGTCATTTTAAAACTAAATCTTTTATGCCCGTTAATATTTAATGAGAAGCCAAAATGAAATAATTTTCAAAAACATCACCATAGGACAGATACAGATCATGACAAAAGTTAGAGAAGCATAATGTACATGTACAGCATAATAAACTGGCCATCATAGGAAGTATCAATTGAATGTTAGCACTTTCAGATTTTTAAACTTTTCATTTCAGCCAAGAATTGAACTATGTAAGAACATACATTCAGTGAAATCTATTTTAGTTGGGGTTCATTGAAAGCATTTAAATGTGTTTGGGGTGAATGCTTTTATGTAAAAATTAAATTCTCAATGAAATAAAAAATCATCAGGTTTAAAATAGCCATAGATAACAATAATAATAACATTACCTTATAATAATAATAATAATAATAATAATAATAATAATAATAATAATAATAATAATAATAATAACAGCAACAATTATAATATTCTTATTCTTTTATCAATTATTAATGAATACAGTGGATCCTTGTCTTATGACCCCTACTTTCCTATGAGCAACTTGTTTTTATGAGACCACGTTATTTTGGATGAAACTTACATGTACAGGAGACAACACTGTTTTTGTTATTCAAATTTGTAACGAGTCAAACAAAGGAATCTTTTGTTTCAAGAACAAATGCCCTTCTGGTTGGCACATTTTTATCAATAGATGACATCAGAGTGAGTATCGCTATAAATACTCAGTTATTTTCTTTTACAAAAATCACATCATTATACCTCGTTTTTAAACTGACTTCTGCTGTATTTTCTAAGTATTGAAGTTGATTTCAAACCTTTTCTACTTCTTTCAAAATTCTTCCCACAACTTTTTCGACAAAATCCTCCACAGACACTTGGTTGAGCTTTGTAGGAGACAAAACATCCTTCTTAGAACATTTTATTTCTTCATGGACTGGCGAGGGGACCTGCAGTGACTTGATGGCACTGGAAAGCTGATGCAAGCTATTCAAAGAAGTACTGAGACTCTTTGATCTCTGTTTCCGTTTAAACTGTCTTCTTGTCGAAAGGTCTGAATATCGTGATCTTTTTGGAGTACCATTGTTTGCACGACTGTCCAAGACATTCTTGAATGGGTGTCTTGATGGAGTGACCAAAGCTAGCACCTGTGAATCATTTATTTCAGTCAAATTGAAAATGTTGATCCAATGGATTGAGTATAATTGAGTATTTTAAACCAATACTCAAGTTTGGATGGAAATATTAGGGTGTGTTCCATTGGAATGATCCAGATGGGGATCAGTGATCCAAGATCCAAGACACTCGGGGTGCATTCCTTTGGGATTATCTGGATCAGGATCAGTGATCTGAGATCACTAGGATCATGCTGCACCAAATAACCCCGTCAGATGAATACTTGTCCAGAGTGGATTCATCGGTTCATTTCCTGCAACATGATCCGAGTGATCTCGGGTTGCTGATCCTGATCCAGAGCATCCCAAAGGAACGCACCCTCAGATCATAGCAAATCAAAGAAACCAACCAATCACAGAACCGGATCCAGTTCGATCATCCCAAAGGACCTCAAAGGAACGCAACCTTTCGCTTAAACTGTCTCCAAGATGTCAGAATGGTTTATCTATTACAGCGCTCGATTGTATTATATTATTAAGTTATCAAGAAATTAATGTCAACAAGAACATTAAAATTAACTGGGGACAAAAATTATCTCACTGTGCAATCGGTTCGAGCGCGAATCAACGTCAATCAGAAAAACAATCTTTGATTGCAAAGTGAACGATGACTGTCATTTGCAAACATCATAAAACAAGATTTTACCTCAACAGGCAGATTTTCCTGGTCTTCATTCACACTCCTCAGCATTGTTTACGAGATCAGTTGTGTAGGAATAAAAAGATCAACCATTTGTTGTCAAATCGATCGACGGAAAAGTTTGAAAAGGCACGCGTCTACTAACAGAACATCTGATTGGTGGAAAAGATTTTCTGCCAAAAACAATGTCAGCGGTTCTTGAATTACTTCATATAAGATGTACGTAAAGACCCTGATTGTGTTGAAATTGACAGGAATCTTAGGCTGGTACAGTTTGAGAAGGTGGGTTTTTTTAAATGTAAACTGTAATTAATATTGCAATTTAAGATCAGAGCCATAACTGGGGTTACTACGAGAGTTTAACGGGAAGTTTATTTCGTGAATAACAGTTGCAGATTAAAACACCAATACAAGAGACTGAAAAAAAGCATGCAAAAAATTTAAGCTTACAAAGTCAAAGTTTGATGTGACTGTATTCTTAATAAAATTATGAAGTGCATTTACAACAATTAAATTCATTATAATCATACAATAATAACTTTCTAAGAGATTATCATGAAACACTTCTTAGTTTTAAATGCTAAACAGGGATAATAGACCTATTCGGCTAACTCAATGTTGCACATTATAATTTCTGCAATTTGATTGGCTTAGAGCAGTGGTATTTCAGCTTAATTTGAAATACCTACATGTGAAAATTACAAACCTTTTGCAGGTAGTGGTATAAACCAATAATAGCATAATTTGTACGTGGTATTCAACATAAATACCACTCGTGATATTTCAAAATTGTCTCAAATGGCATGTGAAATTACGTATAACAATTTGGAAATATCACTCGTGGTATTTATGCCAAATATCACTACAAATTATGCTATTACCTATACATATATTCGAATCTAGCAGGGTTAAAATTCTTTGTGTATTGTATTTGCATTATAATGTGGCATTCACATTTAAATGATATGGAAATTCTTGAAACAAAACATTTTATTCCCAAAGGGTTTGAATTGGTTACAACTTTGAGTTAGCCGAATAGGTCTATTGACTCCTGACTGTTAGATTCTTTGAAATAAGATTCTAAAAAAATGATTTACTTGGGCCCCTCTCTAGGCAGCTTATGTGAGCTGACTTCAAGCACTAGAATTATCTCGGTGTCAATGTTTTTTCCCTTCTCCCTCTCTCCTCTTGCTTGTCTCACACCCTGCCTGTTCCTCCCTGCTTAGATCTAGCAAGAACACCATTATAACAACCAGATTTCAAGACCAAAATCACACCACACTTGCTGATCTGTCTTACAGAATGTTTATAATGCTTCCCTCTTAACCCATTCCCCCCTGGAAATTTTGCCAAAGAATGCATTTTGAAACTAGTCGAGTGGTTTTCCGGTCACTGTTAAGAGCTAAAACTTACCAGAAGGCCGTTTACAGGTCATACACTTCGCGGCCTTCTGATCCAGATGCAAAATATTAGCCTGCTAAGTTTGGGCATGCACAGAAAGCAAAGTTTCGAGATAGTTTTGGGGTTTAAAACTAAAAAAGTCACACAGTAGTCTTCACTTTTACTTTTCGCTTTCTCTCCTCTCCTCTTTTTGCGCTTTTCTTGCCTCATTTTTTTATCTGTTGCTGGGCACTTGGTAGGCTTCATTTCTCGTAGAATTTTAAAAAGTAAGGGTGGCTACTACATGTCCTCAGATTTTCAACTGGACCCATCAGAGTAGCTGCAGTTTTGGATTAGACGAAATTAAATGCCAATTAAAACTTTTTAGATGACCAAAGTTCCCTAGGACATCCAAACAGATAAATAGTTGTTAGGACAGCTCTCAATTAACCAAACAGGCTTCCTAAGCTTAGAGAAAGCCATTATATAAACTTCAGATAAATTTGGAAATTTTCAGCCATTGATTGCCCCTGTAAAAGTGTAGGGGACATAACAACTCTGGTGATGCAGTTTTGCTGGAACCTGGCCCGCATTCATACATTACATCATGGATTGTTTATTCACTTGCTGGCTATCTTCACTTTTATAATTTGTATAGTATAAATGCTTCAAAGCCATATGGAATATAATTAGCTGACTAAAATATTATATTTTTTCCCAAAAGGAAAGACCTTGAGCTGTTAATTAACATGCTTAAAACTTATTATTGGATACTTTTTACAAGTCAGTGAAATGTGGGGGTTATTTTCAAAATACTTCCAGAAAATAAACTGACATAAATAAATGACAGTATAATAATATGCCTGCTTGCATTGTTCCTATCAAAAAGGGGTTTTTGCAATCTCAAGCTCACTTAAATGTAGGAATGCATCACAATTTTATATTCTGAAAGACAAGGTTTTGAAGTAGTTTTTGCCAGTTTATTATTACTATAATGTTTTATTATTGTACTTAAACATAGACTAGCATACTCTAGACTTTGCTAATGTGTTCTAATAAATTGTTTTATTCTCAGTTATATTTTTAATTTTGATTCATTGTTTATGTCTTGGGATATTTTTGCAGCACATGTGGATTCTTACAGCAAGGTCTGACAGGGTCATGTTGTGAGAGTATTGGATTGGAAAAATAACATAAAGCAAGGTTAAGAAAGATGCCATCAAAGAGTCAATTTTGCAACCCATTTCGACAGCTCCCGCCTAAATTGAGCCCAGTCCTCCAGTCCAGCAGATGCCACATTGTGAGTTGGAATAGCAGGATCTTGAACGATTGGCAGCTCAAATGAAACAGGAAAATTCTCACGTGGATAATCATCTGCCAAGTAATATTCATTCCAGAATACTCTAGATGAGAGAGAAAACTGCTCAGTAATATAATAGTAATATTATTGCTGATATTATTCAAGTACTGGTTAGTAAAATTATATGAATATTTGTGAGTAGAAACAAGAAGTGTATTCTGTGTGCTACAGAATTAAGCCCTAGGAAAGGAGTGCTCAGCACTCTAGTGGCCTAAGTGTTTTCAACATTAAGGACATCAATAGCTAAAGCTATAGCAGTAAGTAGGACTCTGTTATCAGGGAAAATCAATATGAAATTTGCCGCGGTATTACATTTGGATTATGTTTTGGGGAGGTGGAGAAGATAAAGTGCAGAGTGGTCTCACCACTTTGCCCTAATTCGTGATCATAATTTCACATTTCTCTTATGGTCTATTTGCTGGGGAGGACAGGGGATGGGAGCTCAAGAGAATAGAGGATGGGGGGAGTATGGGCGAGTATGGGAAAGGGTGGGAGGTGGGAGTTCTAAAAGAGTGGAGTGAGAGAAATAGTGGAAATAAGCAACACTGCTTAAAATGTTTCACCTTTAAAAAGGCTATAAAACAAAGGAAGCCAAGAAAAAAGAGGGAGGAGCTGGGAATGCAAGGTACAGGAGGTGGGAGGTTTGCACCCCTCCGGTTCCCCCCTAATTTTGTCAGTTAAACAGCAGGATTTATTAGTCATTAATTTATACATAGTAGCTTGGGGCAGGGGCGGGGGTTTACTTGAAGGCCATTCTACAGTTATGCATTGTCTTTGTTGGAAACGTGTTTAGAAGGGATAAATTGATTGCTTAGGACAGTAGGAATTTAGTATGAGTTGTTTACTTACTCCAGTGAGTCATCACCAACCATGTCTGCAAGTTCTAAAAACACATCTTTGTCTGCCCTTACTGCCTGAGATTCACTTCCCCTGCAAGAGTGCAAGTTACAAATCACAATAAATTAGAATAATTTTTGGTAGGATGTGGAAAGTTCGAATGTGTGTTAGACAACTTAGCAGAGTGTTTAAATGACCCATCATACAGACTCTGAGAGGACCTTGTCTCAGGTCAGATGTTTGTGTCATTATCAGTGAAGTCAAGTGGTTAGCCTTGCCTCCTTTTCCTTTGAATGACAAGTAAGTTAACCCAGAACATTCCAAAAGGGCAGATTGAAAACTTCCTGGCAATATGTGCTGACCTTCTAAGGAGTTTTCTGGTAAAAATGGCTGTGATTTGACTTTGCCAATTGTCTTAATCAACTTGGCTTCATCTCCATGACTTGCTGCTCCTTCCCTTTGCTGTTACACTAAGTTATCAGACAAAACCCCTCTGTTTAATCCACCTCCATCCCATGCTAAAATAGCCTACTTACTCGTTAACCACTTGATAAGCAGCAGTGACCAGCAGAGACAGTAGGTACTGACTGGGTTTGGATGATGAATTCCGCCAGGCAACAGTGTTACTCCACACCTTAACAATACGGATTAGATCCTTGCACTGAAGAAAATTATACACATCAACGTCAAGTTTTAAGTTTTAACCTTGTTCTCAGGATAAGGACTATTGTAAAATGAATGAAATGAATAACTGTAAGGAGGAAATTGTGGACATAAGGGCACTTTGTTAAATTAACTTGTAATCCAGATTAACAATTTACAACACAATGAACAGCGAGTATTTCAATTTTTTTAGAGCCTAGAACAAATTAATGTAAAATCCAATGTCATCCTTATACGTGATATTTTTATGAGTTGTAAAGTGAGTATTGCCAAAATACATTCATTAGAACTGCATTACATTCCAAACCTGTCATTGTTGATAAACGCACGTCATTTAACATATTTGGATCTTAAGAATATATTGCAAGCTATCAAAGTGAATGTTTAGTTTTTTTGGTACTTAAAAAAGGAAAGGCATCAATTCAAACTTTGTGCATAGAAAGGTCAAATAAGTAGACGCTATAAACTACCTTGGAATCCTGCGTGCAAATAAACTCTGTCTGCCTCTCACAAACTGAAATATTGTAGCTGAAAGGAAAGAACACTTTCTGGTCTGATTCATGGCAGCATTGATTTGAAAGGGCGATTTTCTTTTATTCAAGAAAAGTATTCAAAGTTAGTGAAATATATCGCAATCTGTGTAGATAACTGATATAGTTAGTGTGAGCTTATCAGTTAAGGTAAGAAATAAGAAGTCACGTCTCTTTGATTTTGTGTCTTTTAGCAAGAAAGAATTAGTTCAGTCCAGTATAAAACTTGAATTTGTGGTTAAATCGTTTGTGGACTGTTAGTGCCGTAATGTTCTTAGTAAAGAGGTTTAGCCTTAAAACATTTAGTCCGTGTGGCGGGGATTTCATTCGTGAGGGAAAGGTGTCCTCTGCTTTACACTGAGGAATTTAAACAGTCCAACTAAGGGCACAAGAGGGTGAGGGCTAAGCGACTGCAGTATAGAGGTGTCTATTACAAAGTAAAGAATTGTATGAACTTTCGTATCTTTGAGACCCAGGGATCCTTCTGTGGTAAAGAGGTGTCTGACATATGTGGACATATGTCCGCAAGGTGTAGTTTAGATGAAACATGCTATCATGATTATGATATTGTTTTATCGTGGCTTGAAATGGTAGATGGAGTGAGAAATGGTCATGAAAGAACCTTCATCTAAATGAACTTACAACAACTGTGCATCTGCCGGCTGACTCAGGCTCTGTTTGTACAAAGCTGTAAAACTTCCCATTGGTTCCCAGTCGTTAAGTGGTATGACCACTACATTAACACTGTCACATTTGAACAGCACTGCTGTTTGGGTTGTCATGAAGTCTGAACATGGAGGAAGTTTACTCGTGGCAGACTGCTCCTCATCTGTCTGGTCTGCTGTTTTGCTGCCTTCTTGCTTTAGCAAGGTCTTGATAGTAAATACTATAGCAGGTAGCCAGCTCTTGTGTTCGGTTCTGGGAAGGTCTGGAAAATTTTAAAAAAAAACTTTTCACGCAAAAAGGTCAATTGGGGTCAAGTTACTGTACAATATTCTGGTGTAAGCGACCTACACAGTTGGTATGTGACTTGAAAGTAAAGCAATAAGGAATTAAGGATCCTTCGCTTGTCAATGGCTTTTCTTCTTACTACAAGGTCATTCCAAATGCACGCACGTGTTATCGCGGAGGGCCGGGACTCCATCTTTTCTTGACCTATCGGAATTCAATCGTGTTTTGATTACATGCGTTTTCCCGCGTTTAGCGCCGGTTTTGATTGGTTCCCTATTGTGTTGTCTGCATCTGTTGTGATTGGCTGTAAAATCTCGTGCTTAATCCTGCACTGCGAGCAGAGGTTTCTCTCTTGCAAGCATGACTTTTAGCGTCTACGAAGTCATTCGCGTAACTTGTCTGTCGCGTAGTCAAGCTCTGCTCGCAGGGTAGCTTGATCCTTTCCTGACCAATCGGAATTAAAAACCTAAATCAATTGTTTCTTGATTTGAGACGTTTTCTCGCACTTAGCTGCGGTACATTCATGTGGGTGAAATTGTTATTGGTTCCCTTTTGAATTGTCTGCATCTGTTGTGATTGGTCTTAAGTCACTGCTTTGGTTTTGGTTTAATGACACTGCTTTAATAAACTGCTGGTAACCCATTTTTACACCTGGGCTCAGTTGTTCAAAAGTTGGGTAATGATAGCGTTGTACGCTGAATGTAAGAGTTAATTGTGAGTGGTTAGTTGCATTATCCCAGCAATGGATAGTAATTGAACTACTGTACCGGATAATAGTGGGGTCGTGGTGAAGAGAAACAACATGGAGCCATATTTAAGACAGCTGTGGAGACTTCAAGTCCAACCGTCCCTTGGATCAGTCAGACAGGACTTTCATCCTGCTAAGTATTAGTTCAGAGAGCCTCCGCCTTACAAATACAACACGTTCTTAAGGTCCTACCTCTGAGGAAGACTCTAAGTATTTCAATTAACACCGTACTGTTTTTTAAGGCTAATTACAGTTTCCATAAGTACGGACGGGCGCACACACAGGCTAATGTTTTCAAGCTAGATTTGGCAAATGCCTTGTGCGCGCGGAAGCTCGGCTTTTGAACACCACGGACAGGGATACTTCCTTTTAGAAACAATAAAAATTGCTTTTTTTTTTGAGAAAAAGAAAAAGCAGGTCACTCCAATGACACGGCTGACCCTGGAACCAGCTGTGAGTGTGCTGCTATTACTTTAAATCAATCCAACTTATGTACAACGCTATTGAAGGGATGATTACAACAATAGTTTATTCCGTCGTAAATTACAGAGTGTGATAATGAGACTAACATAAATCGCAAAGAAGGAAAGTGCGCTTGCTTGGCTCCACTGAGTTGCTTGATGTTCTAGGCAAGAATAACATTGGTCTTGAAGGTCGATAAAAGCGCAAATCTCATTGGTGTGGTCGAGTAAGATGTGGTTAGTCTGTTAGTGTTATACTCTGTCGGTGGGGAGTGAAACACAAATCTTTTATTCTTGTTGTCCATGTTAATTAACATTAGCACACCATGATTAACTATGACGAAGGGCTAGCAATCGAAACGTTGGCTTTTGAGGAATCTTTTTACGGTGTTAAGATGTCGTCGTCAACTCATCTTATAGAACCGAATCTTTTTGATAATAGTAAAGATATGGGTCACCACACATGTTTTGGTGCTACTCATCTTGAGTTCCCCCTGAATAAGTTCCAGTTGGTACACGAGCGGTTTTAAGGGTTACAGTTAGTGCCAAACATCCTACCTTTAACAAATACTGCCAAGTCTAGTTCACGGTATCCACCGATGGTTGTCCCCTGACCAGCGGCACCAACCACAGAAATACGACTGACAGTAAATGGAAGCTGCTCCTGAGGTTTGGGAAAAAAGGTATACTGTACTATCAGTCCTAACAGTGCGAAAATAATGTAGTTCTACAAACAAAAAAGTCATTATGGAAATCCCCCATACAGTACTGATACGTTGCAGAAGTAAAAGATGCTTCATTTGAATAGGTGCATAAAAGGTTTCCTTCCAGAGACTCCATCTCACTGATTCTAGACGTGAAATATGCTAATAAAGCGTTGTTGTAGTCGTTAAGTCAGTGGAAAAACGTGAAATTATGTTGAAAATCAGTCAGGAAAGCCCAGAGGACGTGGTTCGTTTCCAGGCTTGTTGGACTTAATCGTCTCTCTAGTAGCTTGTCGCCCAATTTCTATGAAAATAAAAATGCCCTCTCACCATCAAAAAGGATCTTAATTTTTCTGCAACTTCCTGTTGCTTCTCAAGTTGCTCTTGGTCCGGCTGAGCTTCTTCGATGAGGTCCTTTATACTGCTCACTTTTTTTCCATCAATCTTGAGGAAAAAAATAAGCACAAACGTTTATTATTGCAATGACGTCAACTCAGGTAGTAGGTGGGAAAGTTGAAAGTTGGGGATGGGGTTTACCCTTGAGAGCGGCTATTACGTGAGTGATTATGCATATGGTATATGACGAGAGTGATCTTGAGTATGAATGCTTGACTGAGGACGGGTATTTATCTTTGCGTATCATCGGTTAATCGAGTTACAGATTACAGGACTCAAAGTTGTTTGAAGTGAAAGGATCGAGTTCAGAAGAAACAGGAATACTTTTTGGAAGAAACTTTTCTGCATACAGTTCCTAAGTTACGAGATGTGTAGTTAGATGTTGTCTGAAGTTCGTCGTATACTTAGCCTGCGAACAGCAGACGCATTTCCGGTCGTCGCTTCTCTCCCTCCGAAAGGAGGAGGGAGAGAAGCGACGACCGGAAATGCGTCTGCTGTTCGCAGGCTATCGTATACTGTGAGTGGCGTAGTACATAAAGCGAACAAAGAGATCGCACCATGCGTCAAGTGACTCAACGGGGGAGGGACTATAATCATTAGATTCTGATTATAGGACTTTGGCTGGAAAAATTTTGGTGTTTTGTATAAGTGGTCGCCTACGAGAGGAGATCGCACATGGTTGTTCGACTGTACTCATATTTGTAACAGGGCTTGAGTTCATACAACTGAATTAAATAGCGAAATATGGAAAATTATGTAAGTAACCTCGTCAACAGTACTCTCGATCTCTGCAAGGCACTCTTTGCTCTCACTAATCTCCTTCTCTAGTTCTTGAATAAGAGCTTCTTTCTCTTCAAGCTCCCCCTGTTTTGCTGCGATCTCTTCCTCCTTGTCAGCTAATAACCGATCTTTCTCGGAAGCTACAACATCTAGTTGATCTTTCCTGTAAAATAAGGCATACGGCAACATTTGTGCTTTATCCCCAATACCCAAATACAAATTCTCCAAACGGATCTCCATACATTGGTTTAAAGAATCAGTTAAGAGAATTCGATTAAAGATCAATGGCTTTCTCCTTTGGGGATCATTTTATCAATTCTTACAACCTTTTCTCTTGAATATGTGTTGATATTGTGAGAGAAAATTAATTTTGGTCACCCGTGGGACTTACAGGAGTAATGTCAAGAAAACTTTCGACTGTAACATCTTTCTCATTTATTTACCGAGCGTCGACATTTACCTTCTTTCATAATTTATCACCATGCATACAGGTTTTCTTATGGGGTATAGAAGGAAAGCTAGAAAGTGCGAGCAGGCGGGCACGGAGATGGGGACGCATTGCGGGCTAATTTCCGTTAAAAAAGCAGATTTGTTATTTGTCCCTTTGTTATGCAGCCTTCATTTTGTGGACCTGATTCCAAGACCTTTAGGAACTCTTCTGTGGGGAATTTTCTCGCGCCGAGCAGTCATTTGTTATCATTAGGGACCTTAAGTTACACCGTTGCGTTCATTAATTTTAAACTGAGCCATGATTGTCCACCTGTCGTAATGACATCATTGCCCTACCCGGTCGCCTATCCGTTTCTCCGGGATAACAGATAGTGTTACCTTGTCTCCATTTTATTTCTGGAGGGTAGTTGCTTGTTACACTCAATTGATTGCTGTTTGACTTAGTGTACTGATACAAGTGTAAGTCTTACCAGAAATGTTCCAGTGTCGCTTTGTTCATTGCGTTCACTTCTCTCAGCTTCGCAATGCTGTGCTTGTCGGAGTTCACCAGAAGAGGATCATAAACTTCATTGATATTTTTTATGACTAACCGAACACACACATGCTTCTCGTCGTCTAAGTAAGGACTGTAAGGATTCAACACCTAAAAATACAAGAGAGGTACATCCGCATTTGAAGCGGTAGCTGTATTTTTGCACTGATTTTTCAGTGTCAACAATGATCAATATTGGTTTGTCTATCGCAGGTCTAGAACAAAGACAACCATGAAAATATTTTCGAAACTTAACGTGACAACCACTCTACAGGCATTTTCAAATTTCCAACCAACAACAAAATAGGGTCTGCCGGATTATGCTCGAAAAATAGAGTATTATGCTTTCGGGCGTCACCCGTGAAACTAGGGTATTATGCTCAAAATTATGCTCGACTGGAGGTATTATGCTCAAATTATGCCGGACTAAAATGACACTTCCACCCCAAACCCCCCCCCCCCCGCATCGGCCTGTATCTGTTAATAAACATTCCTAGTCTTTCATTTTTGAAAGAATTGTGAGACAATAATTATTCAGTTAAACATTTGATGAGCAAGCGAAAGGTCGGAAATTGTGAGCCACTGAAAGGCTTAGTATATGTCTTTCTCCAATGAACTTGGATTATAGCAAAATGCACTGGGTACTAGTCTAACGTATCAAGTTAAAATAATCCCACTTTTATCAACTTTGTACATTCTAGAGTGTCGCTAAGAGCGAGTTGCTGGCAAAATTTGCATACACCTCTCACAGTTTTCAGAAACAGAGGCGTTATGCTCCAAAAAAATAGTATTATGCCAGCATTATGCCTGATGCTCCAGATATAGTATTATGCTCAAAATTATGCCGGCATAATCCGGCAGACCCTACAACAAAATAACCAAAATGATTAAAAAATTCTGTAAAATTACCTTTTATACGGAGACATCAAGACCTTGCGGAAGAGATTGTTTGAGAATTGAGCTCATAAATTCACTGACCCCTCCTTAGGAGCCTTTTAAATGCGTTATTTTTGACGACTTGTTAACACCGCGCTCACTTGAAAAATGTGCCGGAATAAATTGTTCATCAGGGACACTTTACCGATCTCGGCCGAAATGAAGTTAACGTTGGTTTTTGTTAACAGTGGCGCCTGGGTAATAACATAATCGGCTGCCAGCTGTAGTGGACTAGTGTTTTCGTTCGTAGGGTTTTGTCAATTTGAGTGGAGGTGAATGTTTTTGCCCTTGATCGGCCATTTCCGATTCCTTCATTAAATAATAATAATAGAAATAATAATAATAATAATAATAATAATAATAATAATAATAATAATAATATCAATTAATGATGATAGTGATAGTGATATACCTCATTTAACTCCAGAGTTGTGTTCATGATCATTTCGTCTTGACTATGACAGAATGCGCTTCTACCAGCAACATCCCACGAGTTCACGGTCACACTTATATTATCGTCCTTGAGACAGATCACTCGGATGCTCCAAAGGATCTTCATGTAATAAGCACTCTCGTCCAATTCCGAGTGAAGAAACTTTGGTCCGGGATCAAACGTCAGGCTAAAATCCAGCGTCTTCTGATCCAGGGACCTCATTTTCAATGCCAAGTCTGCACCCTCGATTACACACTCAATCCCTTGATGATCTTGAGGATTCCACCTGGCTGTGTCAAAACCAAGGTAATAGTAAGGCTCAATGCTGGTGATTTTTACTCCAATGGAGACCATTCCTCCCTTGGAGATTGCCTTGAGATCCTTGGAGCGCATAAACTTCTCAATACCAAAAGCTGTACTGGCATTGCTATCGGAGAAGTTATGGGTTACTTGTACCTCACGCCCGTCTCGGATGTAAATTGAATACGTAGCTTTAAACCTTAACATCGACGGTTCTTCTCTGTGTAAATACGCCGCGGCATGTTCAGAATGTTGGCCAGAATTTTTCTTCGGTTCCCCTTTTGGGTAAAGTACCAGATACCATTCCTCGCCAAAGAGAGAAAACTTTGAGCTGGTGACGTGGCTTGTGCGGGATGACAAATTGATGACTAACTTATCCTCAAATACGGTCTGTACCATTGAACACTTCATCTCCACAAACAAGTTGTTATGATCCAAAAAGCCCGAGTTGGGCTTCTCAATTACATCCACTGGCGCTAGCTTGCCCCATCCTGTTCCAAATAAAACTTTGGGAAATTCGTCGTCCTCGTTCATGTTGCCAGCTCTTATAGACTTCGAAGGGTCGTTGTTGTTGATAATTTGTACGGAAAATCGTATCTTGCACTTAAGTTTCTCGGTGAACTGCCCTCCACCGAGCCATCTCAAAAAAACATTAAACTGTCCTCCCTTTATTCCGCCTTGAAAACGCCAGCGATAACCAGCGAAAGCGAACGGCTTTGAATACACACATTCGCCGATATTGGAAAAGTCTTCAAAGATGAAATTGAAACAGCAAGTGTTATCCTGGAGTATTCTGGTGTTGTGAAGTCGCAAGGCCATTCTAGTTCTTAAAAAATAGCTTGTTCAAGCTTCACGTACGCCTTTTTGCAAACCCACTAGACGTTCAATGTAAACTCTCCTGAAGCGAAACGGCCAAAGTACTCACTGCATTTTGCAGCTCATCCTTCAGCTGCAAGAACAAAATACATATACTCGGGTGTTTTTTCAATCAACTTTCGAATTATCAGCTCAAAAAAGAACGCTATACAACACGTTGGAGAGTCGTCATCATCTGCTTCTGCTGTGGGATCCATTTAATAATGAACTCAGCTTTTTAGAAGCCACAAGAGGACGCTATACACTTTGCACCTTTTAAAAAATTAATAAAATATGTGAATTTTAAATAATTGCCCGTATCACAATTGTCGTAAGGTTTTTGAACTTAGTATCATGTTCGAGTGATCTACAGTTAACTGTGTTAAATGCTTTTTTTTGGTATGGTTTTTGTTAGACACCCCTGAAAGGCAAGTCGCTCAGTCTCCTGCACTGTATTGTAAAAAAAGAAAAAGTTTATACAATGGTTACTTAATTTTTTTTCAGTTTTTGGAAGAGATCCAAAGTACCTGCTGCTAATAAAAAATGCAGAGAAATTACTTATTTTCTCCATAAAAACTGAATAACTGGTATCAGAAACTATTTTGTAATTCATGGCCAACCACCATGATTTCTGGTACTTAAAGTTTAGATTTAAAAAAAACATATACCGTTTTTTTACTGATAATTTAAGCTATGTGAGCTTGCTAGTTCACGCTCTCCGTCGCGTGTGTTGTATCTACGTTTGTCAGGTATTAGTGAAGTAAGCCAAGAAAATTGTAAACTTTCGCAGGTTTGTATATTGCGTTCATCTGGCTGTTTTGCCAGCACGCAAGCAATTTTTTTTTGAACAATGTTAACACGGTTGCGAACAATGAAGAACGAAGCTCTGTCTCGTAGACGCGGTTTCACCCGAGTTTTTTTGTACCCTTTTTATAGAAATATTCCCTTGGGAATACCGTGTGGCACGAAATTTTTGCGGGTTCTAATTTTTGCGGTCTTTCCAGCGATCCGCAAAAACAAGTTCCCGCAAATAAAAATTACTGCAGACATTTTTCCCGCGAAAATTTACTCCAGAGTAAATATTCTCTAACTTAAATTCGCTACACAAAAATACAGCACTAAGAAATCGTGTCTGTTCAGTCACAACTTGCCCCTTTCATTCAGAAACGACAAAATACTGGTTTATTGCTTGATGTATTTCTATGGTACGTACTCAACAAAAACGAAAATATTATCAATGCTGGGTACTGGGTACTTTCTGAAAATCTCAAAAATTAATTCCGAGCTAAAAAAACCAATCTGTCCTAATCGCAAAAATTAGTTCCCGCAATACACAAAAAATCGCCAATCTGCAAAAATAAACTCCCGCAAAAATTTCGTGAGTAGTTGACGATGGTCTTTTTTACGTTTGTAAGGAGACTACTTCTCCCTCGAACATCTTTTGGTTAACATGTGGGGAGAGGAGGGGGGAGGCGGCACACATCTTTAATTTCATTGTTGCGTTTTACCTAGTAGATCGCAGTTCTGCCCAGATTAGGGTGAGATTGTATGGGACAACACGTATCCATGGTATCCCTGCAGATTTTGCAGAGGCGAATGACATCATCACCAACTTACTAAAGAAGAGAGAGCAGGATACATTTAACACAGGCATGCATGCGTGGCGAGTTGTAGCAAACTCTGCTGTTCAAGATATCGCTAAGACCCCTCTAAATGTAAAGTAAATGTTTACCTCTACCTCGAAATAAATTTTAAATGAACTACTTGATCACGCAAGACTCAGTTTTGTAATTTGCCTGCGTCGCAAACGCTCTAAACCTTGGTTAAGAGGGCCGGCTGCAACGCAGGCTATTTTGTAATCTACCTTCAACAACACCTCTATCCTCTTCTTTATATATTTAAGTTTTTTGCTATGCCGCAACGCAATTCGGCGAAGAATTTATACTTCATCCTTGTTAGAGTCTTCAGGGCCTGTTCCGGCCGATGAGATCATGGGGAGTGGCTTGAAAAGGAATCCGGATCGGCGATGGTAACTTCGCCCCTCTCCTTTTCAACTCCCCATATTCTGTACCTTTCTCCTCTTTGCGACGTCCTTATTATCGGGACGCGTAGGTAGCCCAAGCTCACTAGCGCGAATCGTTGTTGTGTAATGTATAGATTGTATGGGTTTGTATGGGAATTATAGACGGTGATCGCGATTAGGAGTCAAAAAGAGCAATAAAAGTACCGGAGAATTTCCACCATACCTTCGTGCTTCATTTGTTGCGTTTCCTCGGCAGTTTTGGCCATTTCAGAGCAATTCCCGCCTCTACTTTCTTTACTAAGTCTAGTTGTCCTTTTCGTGAGCTTGGGCTACCTGTCCTTTCCTAGAATGAAGAGAGAACAACGATATTAAGGAAGGCGCGAAGAGAAGTGAGGAGGTGAGAACAGCGTACACGTCAAGAAAAAAAATTCGAATGGAGAAGGGCACATTATTGTAAAACTAATTATGGCCAGATTGATCTTATTCTATTATAGCTTTTTTATTCATTAAAACTAGCCAGCTTCAAAAGACGCGGCCGTCATCATCGCTGACTGCTGACTGCTTTTCCACTATCTGAACTCCATGAGCTAAACCTCTCTTATTTGGCTGAAATAGTCAGTGAGAACAAGTTATGCACTTATTTGGTCCTTTAATGAAACTTTTCAGTACACGGTCAACTCATTTGTTGCCGGCCAGTGAATCAGTTGCGTTGTTTCAACAATCGTCTACAGTTTTTAAACGACCTAAACTAAACTAATACTACCTAACTACCAATAATAATCATCAGTTCTTTGTTCTACGATATTTTTGTTCTCAAGTTCATTTTTTGCGGTATTAAATGATACTGATTTTAGAACTCCTCTTTCAAGGTCATCATTAAACGGTGAACCTTAGGTTTTTAAACTAGTAACCGATAATTTGCGTCTAGACTTCCTGGTCTTTTGTGATATCTTGTCTAGTTGGCGATGGGAAATTTAAAAGTCTATAAAACCACCAGTGATTTTGCGGGCCCATAATGCCGGCCTCGATGGCCCCTCCCTAGGGAAATGATAGCACGTGATCACTCGCAGCGAATGCAAACCTTCTCAGGGTCTAGTTTTGTGCGGTTCGATTCACCCTATTGCGCGCAAATGCACCATGGATTCTTTGATAGAAATCCTTCGAAAGTTGGCAGTATTCGAAAATCTGTGGATCACTTCCTTAATTGGTGCTTTTATTCTGCTAGCTTGGTAAGTTGAAAACATTGAGTAATCTTGCAATTTAGCTAGGAACAAATATCGCCTCCTTGTTTACTTTCCGAATTTTCACGTTGCTAGCCAGGTCTTGGATCTTCACGGTATATTGATTTTGTTTTGAGAATGTTTTCTTCATCTTTCTTTCAAAAAACTGATTATATTTTAGAATCCAATGATTCCTTTTCGTGACGTAAGCCAGCGCAGGTCAGGCGCAGGTCTCTTTTGCGTACCGAGGTCAAGCTTCCCTGTCTCGGAAAACGAAGACCTGAGACCAAATACCCCAAAAACTATAAAACATTCAAAGATCATGAAGGGCCGCGCCCGTCATGTTTTGAGTTTTCCATGCTCGACGTAGATTTCGTTCGGCTTTCGTCGATTCTCTGTGTCACAGAGAACGGTTTTCATTCGAAACGGAACAAGCGTGACAGCATGACGCAAAACCTGAAGAAATATATTGTGCGGGTAGGGCATAGGGGCCTTGGTGCCCATACTTATTTTCCCTAGAAAATTAGCTAAAACTGTTTTGGAAAAATATGGCAAAAGTCTTGAATTTTGCATCCAAACATTTGATTGAACCCTCTCTGAGCAAGAGACACAGCTGTGGTAATTTAGGCTTTACAAAACCTACTTCATAAAGTTTGCAAACTGCCTTAAAATTGCACTTGAAAACTAAAGTCTCAAAAAATCACAATTTAGTTATGTAAGTGCAAACAGGCCTGTACAAACCGAAGCAAATAAAATTCACCCTTTCTTTGTTTGTTCATTGATATCCATCAAAAATCGTCTGAACAGTTAAGTTTACCATGAGTACAGTCTCTCTAAGGAAGACACCTTTGGGACCAGCTAAAAGCATCCATCTTTGAGAAATGTCCATCTTCTTGCTAAGATAGTCAAATTGTAAATCTGGGCCAAGTTGTTCAAAGGCGGGTTAAGATAACGCAGGGTTAGTGCGAGATTTTAATTAAGATTTGAAAGCTTAAAAAACGTTTCAGTTTGAATTCTTTTTGTCTACAAGTTGATGGTTGGAAGCTCTAAAAGTAACAGAGAAAGTTATGCAAGAAAATGCTTTTGAACACAAGAAAAAGAAATGCGGGTTAAGCACTAATTGGCCTTCAAACAACTGGGCCCTGCCTGTTAAGACTGTATTCAATCCAACCTGCTTTCCTGTAACCATCGCAAGGAACAACAACTGATCTGAACAAGGAGTTGGGCTTTTGCAACCTCTCATTATTCAAGAGAAAAGAGCAATGCATATGTCAAACAGTTCGTTGAATTAAAGTGGAAAATACACTGCATTCAGTTTTTCGGTGATGCATTGTAACATTTTATGACTGTTCTAGAGTTCCTTTTTTATGGGTATAGAGACCTATTCAGACACCCTCCTCCCTTTAGTATGCAATTATTGAAAGTGGCTGCCTCTGCATTTAAAAGACAGCTGTGGCCAAAATCCTTGCATTTTTTAATACAAGGAATAAAACAATGTTTCTGATTCTCTTCTTTTTAAGTGTCTCAATTTTAAGATCACTCAGTGGCTTATCTACTGGTCGGCCAAAGGAATTTTTATGATCCATCCTTTAGCAAGCAACAGGATTCCAAACTTTTTTTTTACCCCACCCTACTCATTCATTTTCTAACCTCCCTTAGTCCTGCTGATAAATAATGAGTACTCTGTTACTGACACCACCTAACCTGTGATAATAGGAAAG